CAAATTCACGTGCTTTATCAGTTATTTGTCTTAATGCAGCTTTACGCATAGGTGGTGTACCATTTTTAATTTTAAGTAATAATTTCATTATTTTTCGTTCTTTTTGTTCTTCAGGTGTTAATGATTCCTCATCCACTTCTTGTAATAATTTATCAAAATATTGTAAATCATCTGGTTTTAATAATGGTAAATTTCCTGATGGTTGATATTCTTGTAATTGACCTGATTGAGCATTTTGTCCATGTGCAGATTCTTGTATATGAAAACCTGAAAATGTTGAGTGCGGTGTTGGTGTTGCTGTTAATTTACGTGCTGGTGTACGTATGGGTATATAAGATGCTGGTGGTGGTAAAATTTTATAACCAGGTGGAAACATTGCATCAAGCTCTTCATCAGATAATGGACGATTACGTTCATCTATTTCACGTTCCCAACGATATGCTTGCATTTGTTCAGGTGTCATTGGAACTTGACTTGGTGTTGGTGTTGCCATATTCGCTGCAAGTTTTCCAACAGGTGTTGCTATAATTGGTGTCATACCTGGTGTAAAACCACTAGATGTACGGGGGGTTGATGCAACACCAATTTCTTTTGCAACAGGTGTGAAACTAGCTCCATTTGTTGTTGCATTTGCAGGTGTTTCATCCCAACGCGAACGACGCTTGTCAGTTGATGGTGTTGGAGTTGATCGTATAATATAATCGACATCATCCATACCACCACGATCAGTTTTTGGTGTTTCTGCCCAACCAGAATTTGTTGTTTCTATGAATAAAGACATAAATCAATAGAATAATAAAAAATTCTGTCTTTTTTTAAAAATTTACCTCGTTCCGTACGTGGAGTCTAAATAAGAATAGAAAAAAAAAAAGATTTGATTAATTGAATAAAAGTCACATAGAAAATAAACTTACTTCATCCCATCGATTACGTTTATTTGATGGTGTAGCTGAATGATGTGGTGTTTCCGCACCAGGTGTACGTGAAGCCATAGGTGTATCATCAAATGATGATTGACCAGGTGCTGGTGTAGCATCCCACATTCGATGAGCTGGTGTTATTGCCTAATATATAATAAATAATTATGTAGAAAACAAAACAAAACAAAACAAAACAAAACAAATCTTACTTCATCATAAGCTATTTTTTTTGCTTTTGGATCAGTATCATCAGCAGGCGCTGTTTGATCCCATCGTCGTCGACGTTTTTCACCTGGTGCACTTGCACTTCCATTAGATGCTGTACCACTTTGACCTTCAGCTGCTTTAGCTTTTTCTGCCAATTGACTTCGTGTAGCAGCCTAAAACAAATAACAACGACCACAAACAATCGATTGTTTTGTTTTTTCTTCAGTCAATCTTACCTTTGCATTTCGTAGAGCTTGTTCACCCATAATTTCTGTATAACTACGTGCTATTATGTGTGGATCTGGTGTTTTTCCACCTAAATAAATTAAATTAAAATAATCAATAGAAAAAACAAAATACTAAATAATCGTAATAGGCAAAAAACAAAAGACCCACCATTATGATACGATATACTACCTCGGTTTTTTTCTTTTTGGACATTGAATAATAAATGTCAAGAAATACTTTATAGAATAAAAAAGAAAGGAAATTTTTCTTTATAATATATATGCATGTATTCTTATATGATAGTATGTATATCTGTACCATGCTCGAGCTCATTTCAAGCAGGATGATTGTCAACGTTGCGATCGAACGGCACGTTGATAATCGTTTAAAGTCTAAAAAATAAGCTTAGATTCCAATTAATTAAATAGGCGTTTTACTATTCAATCACACCTTTTCTTTATAAGAAAATAGTGCATTTATGTAGATGGTGTATATCCATGAAGCCAAACGCCTACAAAAATGAACTCGGTATCAGAATAACCTCAAATGAATTTACAAAAAAATTACTCATTTTGCATTTCTTATACTGAAAAAAGACTCCGAAGAGGTTTTTTTTAAAAATTCTTTTTTGTATATTTACCATCAGCAAAATAATCTATTCGTTCAGGTGATAATCTTCCTGGTACCATACGTCGTTTTTTCTGATATTCATTTTCTCGATCAGCTATTGTTGGTCGACGATGTTCAGCTAATGGATCATGGCTCTAAATATAGAAAAAATAAATAAATAAAACGAATATTTAAGAGAAATTTTGCTAGTCGATCGAGCATTTGTCAATAAGGTCATTTTATGATCGAAATTAAGATATACTTTTTTTTCTATTAATCGATTTCTAACATTAAACCAGCATTATAAGCGTTGAAACATGCAGAAGTCTGCGAAGGGAAACAACAAAAGTCATCACCAATGTTCGCCTTATATTTCCATCATGTTTCATCCGTTTTGTTTCAGCAACATTACATGTGAAAAAGCACATAAAATTGACCAACAACGTCTCGAGTAGGTTTCTGAAAAAAATGTGCTTTTATTAAAGTGACTTTTTTCGATTTTAAGTCAGTCTTCAACGTGATTACTAACCGAGATCGAACTTTAATAAAGTACATCTTCTAGAGTATTGCGTTCTACAAAATCATTATATTGATTTTGAAAAAAGTTTCTGATTAGGCTACAAAATGCAGCGGCACATCTATGTGTGATGTACAAATTTGTGCTTTTTTTATTAATATTAAGCAGATCTTTCTTAGAAAAATTACCATTCAATCAAGATTAATATGATATTCTTACAGGTATCATATTAGCATAGTCTTAATTCTAATACATATATTCCAGGTAACTTTTCAGGGACTATCTGGGCATAATATCTGTAGTACTTGTGTAACTCACGTGTATTGTCAAACAGAATAATGAATGTAAGTTTATATCGATTCTTCTGTGATTTTCTCTTCCCGATCCTAGTAACTGTGTTTGGTGAATGAAGATCAAGGTGACTGAGTATGTTTTCACAGTGACTGAGATGGATTGTAGAGTCCACTGTTTCGAATCTGAAATTTTCCTCTTAAGCAAGTCCGAATTCTAAAATTTTCGAACCTGATGAGCTCTAGAGAGTAGGCTAACGCTGATGGGGTATGGTTCCATAGTAAACTGTCTAGAGGAGAAGGCTAACAATAATTGAGTACGTTTCCCTTGAAATAGGAAAAGGAGTGTCAACAATGATACTATCTAGATCATTCTGGAACCTTTGAGAATGTTCGAAAGCATTCATTATGATAACATGAGTTTGGACCAACATTTGAATCTGGATATGAGTGAAGAAAATACTATACTCATGCCTGATTACCTGCTCTCTGTAAAATCCATGTCCTTTGCCTGAGATGAGAGAGTGTCAAAAAATCGAAGTCTCGGAAAATAGCAAGAAGCCATTCTGTTTCATTCAGTTTTCTATATTGATTCCAGGTCTACCATTCTACGACAAAACGATAGAATTTCAGTCGCGAAAGTGTCGCATGGCTCACATAATTTCATACGTCAGTGGATCGTCAGTCACAGGTATGGAGTCCTTTTTTTTTTCTCACAAAATAATAATTCTGAAAACAAAAGGTATACTTTCGAAGTGCAATGTAGGGCATTTCCAACGATATTATAGGCAAGTTACCTATACTATAATATAGAACAAGGAAGATTAAATTTCATAAGAAGTCATCGATTTGTTGCAATATCACTTGCAAATCATTTTATGATGCAATACCCATTGTGTTAATAACATGTTTCAAGAGTAGCAAAAATTACTCCGACACACTCAATTTTTATGGATACTCTAAAAATATCAGTTTGGCAATCCGCATGAAACGTAAATTTCTTTTTAGTCGTAAAAAAAGTGCAAGCTTTTTACTATGAAGAATTTGGTTTCAGAAAAAACTTACTATTCAACACTATCTAAAAACCTTGGATTTTTTTTCTGAACATTCTTTTATAAGAAACTAAAAACACATGCTCTCACTTAGCTAGTCGAGCTCCATCTAACTAGAATCTAAAAATCTTTTTGTAACACTGATTTTACATTAGAAATCAATTACTATCAAAAAGAGAAAAATATATCTTAATTTCGGCCATAAAATCGACTTTTCCAGACAGCTCTCATAAAGCTACTCTTAATTTTCTTATTCTTTTTCGTCTTACTCGATCAATATTTGGAATATTTTGCAAAATATCAGTTGATGGTCCATATTGTTTTAATTTCATATTGGATAATGATGATTGATAATCTTCATCTTCCTCCTAAAGAAATAAACATTTGATTATTAAAACAAAAAAAAAAAAAAGCAACCTACATCTTCATCATTAGCTCCTGGTGCATAATTTAAATAACCACTTCGTGCATTTTGTTCATAAACCTCTGTATCAAGAATTTCGTCAATGAATCGTGTACCACGAGCTTCATCTTCTTCTCGTCGACGCTCATCACGTAGAGCTTTCGATTGAGCTTCAATTGCTAAAACAAAAAAATAAACACAAAGAAATATAAATAAATGTTTGCAAAGGTTTTATTCACAAAAAATTCTTACCATCATGTTTTGAACTCATGATGTATTATTCAATACTAACCAAGAGTAAGAACACTATTCTATTGAAATGTTTATTGCGTAAAATGTTGACTAAAAGAAAGAAACAATATTTGTTTATTTATTTGTTTATTTTTTCTGTAATATGATTATTTCATTGAATTTTTGGTTTGTCTCAAAAAAAGAATTAAAAAATTTAATTATAAAGTTCAAAAATGTATTTATTTATTTATTTTTATTTATTGTCATAGTTATGCATTTGATTTTCTTTATTTCATTGGTTGTTTAATTCAAGCAATAGCATTATTACGAACGAAAATAAATGAACTGAATGTTTAAAGAAAGAAAAGACAATTTTATAGTTTTTATTTGTTGTTTTCAAATCAGGAAAGAAACGAAAAGGAAAAATTTTATTATTTAAAAATTTTTCCTTTATTATATTCAGATTATTAAAAACAAAGAAAAACAAAGTTTTTCTTTTTTTTGTTTTGTTTTTCGTTATTTTGATTTCTACATCTAATCTTCATGTTCTCATCATTTGCTGACGGTATGCATCCACATCAACATTTTCCACTTATGCAATTATCTGATCGACAACAAATGCAAATTCCAACTGGGTAATTATGAAATTTATTTCAAAATCTTTAGTTTCATAAAATATATTTCGTTATCTATTGTACTACTTGACATTCTTTTTTTTTTGTCAATACATAACTGCTGATGTCAAACACTTGAAAAAAATACTATTCACACGTATTCGAATATACGTATAGTATAGATGATATAGGTTCTTTAATTGATCATGAATAACGAATATTCGTACAATAAGCGACTTTGACAAGCATTTGTCAAGTAGCTGTCACTATTAATTGGATTCATATTTAAAAAAATTATATATTTTTAAGATCGATCTTAATACATATATATACGTTTTCTTCTATTGTTTACATTTCGCATAACCTTTCGATTCATTAGTAACATTCTCTCCATGACATTTTTCCTTCTCAACAGAGCGTTGAAAATATTAAAAAAAAAATATTGTGGTTAAAATGGAATTACTTCTGACAATCGACTGTCGTTTCTCATCACTTTTATAATCATAGTTTGTCGTTATTTGAGGTTATTTCTCGTTCGCTGTTCTTTTTTTCTGTTCTTCTCTTTGTTCTTAATTTTCAGAAGAATATTAAAAGAAAATTATTTTAATGCCTGACCCGAAATCAATAGGCGATAAATCATCACGGTCGTTCATCTATTTGCTCTTCGCTTTCTCTCTCTGTCTCTCTTATACTCTTTCTTCTCGTCATTCTCGCTCTACTTGACCCTTGGCGAACGTGTCCGGCAAAATTTCAAACCTATCTATGTGTATGTGCTCCGATTAATTGAGTTTTTCTTTCTCTGTTCTGTTCTGTTCTCGAATGAATAGAAAAAGCAAAAAAAAAACGAGAGAGGGCATATATTCTTGATTTGCTAACAACAGAACAATCTCTTTTCTTTTTCTCTCTTGCTATCGATTTTTTCTCTTGCCGAACGAAACAAGAAATAATTATATAGATTGATGTAGCCGCGGCTAACATACAAACATAGAAAGAGAGAGAAAGAAAGGAACGAGAAGCGATTAGAAAAGAGAGAGAGAGAGAGAAAGAGGAGAGACAGAGAAAAAAAACGAAGGGGACCTTTCGTCGTCGTATTCCACATACATATTACCATGCCGTCATTCAAGATGCCGATTTTTTTTCCCTTCGTATTTTTTTTTGTTTCTATCAGAGCGAACAGTATGATGAGTTGTTTTTTTTTAAATACATACATCTGGGTCTGCGCGTGTTCTCCGGTGCTTTTTTCTCCCCCCTGTTGTCGCTGCTATAATACACATGTATAACGCGTGCCCCCCATCATCATCATTGCCACATGCACATATGTATCAGAAGAAGAAGAAGAAGGAGAGAAAGTAATGGGTGTCGTCAAGTTTAGTTTTTTTGAATATGTATATTGAGTGATAATGATGATGATGGTCGATTTGATAATATACATGATGTTAAATAAAAAACATCCTTCGATTACAGATCGTATAATAATTATCGATGTAATACATTATAATTATAATCTTAAAAATGACTTCTGCACTATATTATCAATCGATGATAGTGCCACAACAACAACAACCACAACAGCAAGTACAACAAATGCAAATGTAGTGAGTAAAAAAGAAAAGAACAAAAACTTTTTTTTTAAATAGTTCTCGTTTCTCTAAGATATTGAAATGACGCGTATTGTTTTTTTTCCTATACATTAATTTTGTTTTTAGTTATCATCCACAACAACAACAACAGGCACCATTACCACATATGATGCCACAAGCACAACAAGTCCATCATTTAATTCCACAATCACAAGCAGCATCAACACAAAATCGTGATCATCATCAGCATTCTCATCCAGCTAAAGAAATGAATAAACCAAAAGGTCGAATGAGTGCATATACATTTTTTGTACAAAAATGCCGAGATGAACATAGAAAAGCTTATCCAAATGAGAATGCTAATTTCAGTGAATTCTCAAAGAAATGTGCCGAAAAATGGAAGGTAAGATTAATCATAAAAAGAGAGAAAAAAATAAATCAATTTTATAGATGAAAGATCTTAGCTTAAAAGTGATAAGGAATCTGAAACTATTGATTCGCAAACGAACATATAGATTAAATGTGTCAGACTAAAATCATAATAGAATTAATCAAAAAATCATCAATTTCTGCTCATATAATTAAATAATTATTTCGTACATTTTTCATTTTCTCGATCATTCTATTACACTTCTTTTTTTTTTTGCATACTTTCTACGATCAAGGACAAACAACAAAAAAATTATATAGGATTAAGTGAATGATTGTGCGAACAGCTGCGCTAGAGAACAAAAGAGAAAAAAACAACATAATTATTGTTATTATTTTTTTTGTTCTTTATTTAATAGACAATGACTGATACAGAAAAATCCAAATTTGCTGCACAAGCTGAAATAGATAAACAGCGATTTGAACGTGAAATGGCTGCTTATCAACCCGGTGAAAAACGAAAAAAGAAAAAAAAAGATCCATTGGCACCAAAAAGACCATTGTAAAACATTCTTCTTTTTTCTTTGAAAATGGAAAACTTTTTATGGATATTACTTTAGATCGGCATTTTTTCATTATTGTAAAGAAGAACGTCCTAAATTAAAAGCATTAAATCCAAGTTTATCTGTTGGTGAAATAGCAAAAGAATTAGGTGATCGATGGAATCGTACAGCACCTGACGGAAAACTAATTTATGAAGAAGCAGCACAACGAGATAAAGAAAGATATGAAAAAGTCAGTTATGATCGATTGATTTTTCTTTATATTATTTATTTTTTCTTAATTATTAGGAAATGAATGATTTTAAATCAGCTAATAAAAAAGCAGCGAAATTAAATTCATCATCTCAGGCATTAGCACAACAACAACAAACTCACCACTCCGATCAACAAGTCAGAATACATCAAGATGTAAATGAAGAGTTTTTGAAAAATTCCATCTCATTTTATAATTCAAATTTTTTTCGTTTTCTTTTATCTAGTCACAACAACAACAACAGCAACAGCAACAACAACAACAACAGCAGCAACAACAACAACAACAACAACAACAGTACTCTCCTGTACCATACCAATTACCGCCGTTCAATCCAATGCAATCTTTTCAACCACAAGTAATTAATAGAATAGATTGATTAATTTTATTTTCTATTTTCTCTGCAGGCTTTTGCTCAAATGAACAATTTCCAAGATAATGGTTTGGCAGCGTCACTTTTTCCTCATTATAATGGCTATTCGTTACAAATGCCACATAACAATGTAGGATATTAGTGAGCATTAGAAGTAGAACGCACACACACACATATATATATATATATATACTCCTATACACTCTGTTTCTTTCTCTTCAATATTAATTATATAAAGACCCAGTCACCAAATTTTATTTATTGCCATTCACATATATATATATATAAGGATATATATATATGACAAATGAATATCTCTTCCTATTTTCTTTTGTTTGTTTGTGTCGGTTTTCTTTCTTTTTTGGTCTTACAAATCTGATAAAACAGAGTGTGAATGTGTATATAAAGATAAACTATGATTGATAAATAATTGATACATCGACATCAAACAGCAGCATTTTTTTTTTGTTCTTCCGGTTTTTTCTTCTGTTTTCTTTTTTGTTTTGAATTTCAAAAACAAAAAGACCTGTTGTCAATTATTTTTTGTTTGTTCCTATTCGTTTTGTGTGAACATAACAAATCAAAAAAAGATAAAAAAAATTGATAATCACGTTAAACGAAAACACAAATCTTTCTTTATACTGATTAAATATATACATATAATTATATTTATTGGTAAGTATTTAGTTTTTCTTATATATTGCTTTGCTTCTTTCGTCTTTTATCATTGTATCTCTTTTATAAATACATATATATATATATACGTGTGTACTCGAGTGCTTACTTCTTCTTCTCATAGTTTCGACTTTTAATTTTTTCTTTGTATTTAATTGATAAGAATAAAACTATTTTTCTGTATAGGTTCAAATGCAACAATTTCAAGCATTACAACAACAACAATTACAACAACATCTTCAACATCAAGTAAAAATAAAATATGTAATTTGATTTTTTTTAATATTTTGTTTATTAGACTTACCAAACTTTAACAACAGCTAATACAAATTCAGCAAATAATAATAATAATAATAATAATTCAAATAATAATAATGGTGAACAACAACATGATGATGATGATGATGATGACGATGATGATGATAATGAATCTGAAGTTGAAGAATAAATAAAAATTAGTTTTTGTTTTTTCTGGAAATGTCGATCGAGTAATAATAAACATTAAAGGAAAAAAAAGTATTGCGCTATTTGTTTTTTTTTTGATTCCTATACTTGTCTTGATTCGTGGTTTTTTTTTCCTTATTCTTCTTCCTTTTTGGTGGTGTAAATATGATTACACCATCAATGATTGTCTTTTTCTTTTTTTTTTGTTTTGTTTTTTTTTTGTATTTGTTCGTACTGTGACTGTTTGATGTATATGAAAAAAAAAACGAAAAACTATTCACATACTTAGCTTGTATGTATTGTCCTATTTTTTCTCGTTGTCGTTTTTTTGCATCATGACAAACAACATTGTCTTTTCTTTGTTCTTACTTTTGTCTGCTGTTTTTTTACAGGATAATGTCAGACATACATACTATTGTTCTCTTTCTCTCTTTTTTTTGATTATCTTATGAGTAAAAATGAAAAAGAATGGTGTACAACCATCAGTTCAAACTACTATCATATATTGGTTGTCATATCTTTAGATTTGAATACAAAAAAAAAAAAAAAACAATGGCTGCCCCAGCTGATGTAACTGCTTTGAATATAGTAGCAGCAACACATCCACGTATTATTATTCAACCTGATTGGTCTAACAATCTAAAATTGAATACATTACCTGCCGATGTTTGGCTTGAGTTTAAATCAGGCAATGCTGGTATATCACGGGTAACCCAAAATATTCATGGTGTTTGTTCAATAAAGGCTTTGTCAGATCCAGAAGCTAATGTTTATAAAATATCACCAAGTGATAATTTTCAATCAGCTGATATTGACAGAAACCAACAACAATTACGTATTAAAATTCGAGATACTGATTTTAGTCATACATTTCAGGGTAAATAAATTTTTGTTTCTATGTTTATTTGTTTATTCTTTATTTATAAATTTTAAATAATATAACTTCTAGGATCAAAAAAATCATTTTCTACAACGGGTAAACATGAAGATGATGCAATCAATGATGAGCTTGATCCATTAATTAATGTACCTGAACTTCCTAAAAACCGAATACAACACATACATTTATCAGCTAATCCTCATTGGTTTGATATTAGTTCAGGTGGTGTTGGTTTAACAGCATTAAGTAATGGAAGAATTACTATTTGGGATATTGAAAATGGTATATTCATAATTAAATTTTAGTTAAAATATATTGATTTAATTTTTTAGGGCAAGTACGACGTACACTAAAAGGTCATATTGAAGATGTATATATAAGTCGATTTTTTCCATCAGGTAAAATTATTATATATAGCTATTCGAACTTAATTATGTATTTTGTTCTATTTAGATTTTGCTGTTGTCTCTGGTGGAGCTGATATGCGTGTTAAAGTTTGGTCACTTGATAATGATAATAATGAAATACGTGATATAACATTAAGTGGACATTATTCACGTATTAATGACGTTCATGCACTTAATCAACAACATGTATTAAGTGCATCGAATGATGGCTCGGTTATATTATGGGATATTAAAAAAAATGAAAAAATAAATAAAATTGTTGAATTACAAAATACTAGTATAAACTGTATTAGTTCAGTTGATTCGTCATTAATAGCTTGTGCTTGTAGTGATGATTCAATTCGTGTTTATAATTCAAATAAAACAAATTCAAAAGAAGCAGTGAATACAATTACAATTGGTTCACCAGTTAGTGCACTTTGCTATTTGTCAGAATTAAATCAACTTGTTTATGGTACTGAACAATCAATAATTGGCATTTATGATATACGACAATTAAATGATATACCTATTCATACATGGAAAGAACAACGAGGAAAAATAACATGTATTATTCCTAGTCGTGATCGTCAGGGTATAATAACAACAACAAGTGATGGTAGTTGTTTTGAATATAATAAAGAAGAATTACAAACAATGGCGGATGTATCACAATGTCATGTTCGCGATTTTACAGGTGCAGATGATGCTATTCTTAATGCAAAAGTATTTAATAATAGTGTTTATTCAATTTGTTGTGATGGTCTTGTACGTGTCTATGAGAATCTAGAATAGATGAATTCTCATTTTTTTTCACTTTTTTTTATTACGTAAAACTGATTTACTAAATGGGATTTTTTGCATGACGTTGATTTGTTTTTTTTTTGTGTTTTCTTGATCATTCTCTATTGTTATGAGAAATGATCAGTAATTTGTATTCAAGCATTATTATTATTATTTTTTCCTTTTTTTAATGTTGTCTTTTTATGTGATATTAGGCCAGCAAAATAAAACTCCAGTATTATTTTCTGCATGAAAATATAATACAACTTCACACAAAAAAATGATTTCAAATGTTTTGATTAAAGTTTTAATTTACAAAACAAAAATAAGCTTTGAACAGACATAAAATCGTGTTTTGTCAAATTAAAATTTGATTGAATATAGATTATATGTCTTTGTCCGAAAAACTTCCGCTGACGATTTCCGTTTGACGGAATCGGAACCGGAACTAGACCATTTCCTCAAAAGTTTAACATAAAAGATTTAGAGAAAAACTTATATGCTCGTAATCCATATATCATTTCATATTCTTTGATATATTTTTGTTTTCTATATATATAATTTATACGTAAATAAATATATAGTTTTATTTTTAAAGTTCAATTATTTATAACAGCAACACAAAAGAAGAAAAACAGAAAAATAAGTTAAGCAGAAAAAAACATGTCAGTTCATATTATGTTACCATATAAAGAGGAGAAAATAAATAATTTACATAGGTTTTCCAACATTTTTAACTAATAAATGTTGTTGTTTATGATGTTGACGATATTTATCAGATGTATTAGGCATCGATATTGAACGACAAATTTGTACGGCAGCAATTGATGGTGCTTCTAAACAATCGGTTATTGATGCGACTGGTTCAACATCTGTATCAATTGATGAAACTTTATCATGTTGATTACAGATTGAACGTATTTGTTTTAATGTATGACGACGAGTATTTGACATAACTTGTGAAACAGTAGTTGTAGCAAATGATGATGAACGTTGAATGACATATCGAAATAAAGATGATCGTTGTACTGCTACTGTTAGACCTGTAGAACGAAATGAATTACTAGTTGTATTATTCGATGTTGTAGAACTAGATGTTAACCATGAACGAGTGACTGGTGGAGGCCGATATTCTCGAGCAGGACGTGTCAAATTTGTCGTCGATATTTTTTCACCAGCATCATAAGATGATTGAGCGAATAAAGCGGCAACACGACTACGAGTTAATGTTATTCGATGAGTGTTTGTAGCATCAATATCTTCTATAAATGTGGGTAATGTAGATGGTACATTATTCGACATATTTGATCTAATTCAAATAAAGACTAATATTATTTGAAAACATTCAGTCAGTTTCACTCGATGTGCATTCGTCTGTTATGTCGTAATTCTTTCTTTCAATGTATCTATAAATATATAATCATACATATAAGTATTTTCTGACTGAGCATTGTCATTAGTCTATCTATTTATATTTCTCCATTCTTTTTGTTTACTTTTCTTTCGTCTTCGCCATACGTCGCCTTTTGAAAAATACTTCGATTTAAACTAGAAAATATAACAGAATAAAACACGTTTTTTTTTTCACTAATAATTTATCAAGAATAGATAATTTTAATCAAACCATTATTTCTCTTGTCAACGCAAAGATACGAATAGAAAAAAAAAAACATTTAGAAAAAAAACTTAATCATAAGCATATGGAAATTTTTTATGCTTATCTTTCCGTGTAATATAATAAATGTAATGAATTCGAAAAAAAAACTAGACTATCTTTTTCTTTTCCTTCATGTTGTATTAATCAGTTGTTTTACAATATACTTCAAAGGTCAAAGAAGAAACCCGTGAAATTTTCTATAATAGACGATACAAATCTGATGTCATTAGCAGCGATGCCATTCGAGTTGATAAGTAAAGTGAAACCTGAGTTGACTTTTTTCTTTGTTATTGTAATGCTTCTTCTTCTAGGTTTAATCATAATAGAAATTGAAATCTTCTATGATTTAATTATGAAGCTTACTTTTGTATTTTTCTTTTTTCTGTCATTACAAATAATCATTGATATGGTCATTATATAAAATGAAACGTGAAGCGTCTCGTTTTTCAATAATACTTTTATACTAAAAATAGATGAAAATACTCTACTCATGGTTCTCTTTATATATCTATAATAAGCCGAATTTTAGGAGAAATTAATAAATGATCTGTATAGATATTTAATAATAATCAAAATTTTTATTCGATCAATTGCAATAAAACAAAAAACTGTAGATATTTCATTATCCTGTTCAGTAAATAAGAATTAAAGCTCATTTTAATCAAATGATAAATTATACATAATACTTAGTTTATTTAGATTAAGATTATTATCTATATATTATTCATTCAATATGTATTCATTCATTTATTAAATCTATTGTTGACTCAAAGAAAAAAACACATTTTCAAAATCTGTTTGTAAATGTCAAAATGTTGATATTCAATATGATCAAAAAGAATAAAGCGATGAACTTTTGTACTATTTACTTTTCTTATACTTTCAATAGATGAGAAAAAAAAGAAACAGTCGCTGTATATTGTCCTTTGTCAAAAGGCCGATGACACTGAAACCTACAAGAAAATAAACATATTGGTTACCAGCATTATTCCTTATTCCTTCGATAAACAAAAAACAAATACAATAGTGATCGAATTTAGGTATTATATTCTCAATACAACAAACAAACAGAAAAAAAAGTCTATCAGTACTAAAGAAAAAGTTACGTATTAACTAAACACACAAAACAGCATTCAATATATATATTGAATTATCATTTAAATAGAGCATATGAAAATGACGTAGCTGTTGTTGCAATTATAGAATAATATAACAGTAAAATATTTATGATACATTCTGATACAATTGATGTTTTAAGCACTGTTTAATATCATATTTATCGTCTTTTTTTTTGTCTAAGAATATTCAGTTGAATATTTCTCTAGTCAACCATATTCAACAAAAATTAATCAACCAAATTGATTTTTCACCATTAAAATGAGTACGACAATTAAGATAATGGCTTTCTGTAATAAAAAAAATAATTGGAAAATAATTTCCTAGAAACTAATTGATTGTATGTACTTCATCATAATTACTATTGCAAGCCTTCGGTTAAGACGATTCATACGGAGGTCATTTGTATATCTCATTACTTGATTGGAAAATACAAACAATAGCTTAACTAGAATAATAATAATAACTACACGTTTCCAAAAAGATAATCAACTTTAATTTAAATAAACCTATGAAAATTGACTTTTTCCTGAGTCAGTTATGATATTGGCTTACGAAGATAAAATCAAACTAGTGAAATATACTGATTCTGTCAATTTGTTTATAAAAATATTTATGAAGAAAAATTTCTTACATCAATTGTTGACTATTATGTGAACGTGTCATATATGTACTAATGCTTTTTCCACTATATTACATATAGCGACTTTAAGAAATTCAATTATTGGATTCAATTATATCTATTTTTATTTCATTTTGATAATGAAAACCACGGATAATTAAAAACGGCTTCTAACGCCACCATATATACAATATGCATATTATTGGTCTATGACAGATTGTCGTCTCGCTCTGTCATTTTTTTCTCTTTTCGTGTAATAAATGTCTCGTATTCTTTCGTTCGTTAACTTTCTTTTTTTATGTTGAATATAGTTAAATCTTTAATATAAAGTTTTTTTTCGCTGTTTTTTTTTTTCACTTTCTTTCAAATTCTTAACTATTAAGAGAAATAATCTTGTATATCATTAAATGACGTATGTAAAGAATTTTATTCTTCCGTCTCATTTATTTCTTAATACAAGAGAAAATCTGTTTCATATTTATTTATATTAGTATGCTTGTTATTTGATGTTTCCTTTCATCGATTTATTGTTCGATGAGGAAGAAAACAGGAAGAATAGTCGGTCATAAGATTACGTTAGAAGGCAATGATGAACGTAATCGCATGTCCGATAAATAAACGATAGTTTGATGACCTCTTCTCTCCTATTTATTCTCTTCTTTATTCTTACTAGCTATTTCCTTATTCTAATGCCTAACATAGCGCTAGACAACCATATATAGTTACTAAAAGATCGTGACGATTGAGCAACTCTGAATGCAAACGTTCTTTCCGACACTTTATATTTGTGACCGACAAGCAGAGAGAGAGAAAAAAATTCCTTTTTTAGTTTAGATCCGAATTATCATTATACTCGTTTGGTTGAACAAATAAATTGATGATGGAAAGCACACATTTGTTGTACTATTCTTCTAGCTGAAGCTTATCCTCATTTGACACTTATATGCTTCTATTGATAATAGGATATAACTCATTTTTCAAAAGGATTTTTGACATAGATATACTTTTGATCAATATTGATTACATTAATAACCTTCTTGTCATGTTTTCCATACCTATTAATATATCAATGAAGTATCATCGCATTTCTCTTTTTCTTTTCTTTGTTCACATAAACAAGGCTTTATTTATTATCATTTATAAGTAAATAGATAAATAGATAGATATATTTTTTTGTATCTTTCAATAGATTTTTATTAAATAATCTAGATAAAAACTAAGTCTATCGTTTCTGTCGATAAATTATGCGACGACATCATCAACAAAGAATCATGTGACAGACAACTTGTCTCGATATATCTCTTCACTTGTAATATTACGTTTCGGATCAAGGTGCTATTTACATATATAAAACATATCTATCTTTGCTTTATAACACAAAAAAAAAAGAGACATGGGAGAAAGGTAAAATTATTGATTAGTATTATTGTTCTTATATAGAAAAGAAAAACGAAAAAAAAGAAATATCAATATGTGTGTCACTTTATTACCCCAGTTTTTTTTTTGCTTTCTGTTTTATTAGACTTGAGTGGGTTCAAATCATCGAGCCGAAATCCAAGGACACTATGTATGCCAATCTTGTTACTGGTGAATGCGTTTGGGAAGCACCACCTGGCGCAAAAATGTAAGTTTCAATTTACGAAACAAAAGAAATTTTTTTAATCATATGATATTTCATTAAACAAAAAAAAAAACAATTGAGATTATTCTTTTTTTTTTTGACAGTCTACAGATGATAAGAGACCTTTCGCATTTCACTTTTTATTTCAATTATGAATAAAAGAGTGAATAAAGAAAGGTCAACTCAATGTAGAACGAGAGAAAGAAAATGACGAGTTTAACCACACGTACGAATGAACACATCATACAATAGACAAGAAGACATGTCATTATATACTACTAGTGCGACAATAATGCTTTTTAGTACTTGTACGGATGTTTTGCTTTCGTGTCAAGATACTAATACATAGCTAGTCAAAAAAAAAGGAGTAAATCTTATTGTTTATCTGTCTATTTAAACTAATTGTTCAATAAAATGAAGTAGATAAAGAAAGAGATATCAATTAACACAGATGGAGTTATATATTATAGTGTATTTCTTATTCAACAGACAACATCAATTAATTGTCTAATATAATAAATTTCTTGACAGTATATCTTCTTATTTGCAGTCTTCATATACTAAAAATGTATATGTATATACATATATATAACCTTGGTTTTTCTTTTGCTTCCGAAAAGAAACAAAGCAATTGCATGTCTGGACAATAGAGAATGACACAATATGAATAAATAAGAAGTCCAAAGAACATATATGAATTGTTATTATAACATTTTGAGATCATTTTTACTTCTAATTTCTTTTTATCTTCTTCTGAACTTATTCTAGTAAATTAACAGACGATAATCAGTGGTGGGAATTATTCGATGCAACTACTAGACGTAATTATTATTATAATGCAAGAACTCAAAGAACTATTTGGCAACAACCATCAGGTGTTGATATAATTCCTTTGGCTAAACTGCAGGTATTCAAATAGAATTACATAATTGATTTGTCTCTTTTTTTATTTATTGATATAAGATGAATAAAGAAACATGTGCAGGATATTAATCATCATTGACTTTCATCATGAAAGATATTGTTCTATCTACAATATCGATGATGATGTAAATCTCTCTTCTTTTCTTTCTTATACTGATATGATCATGATCAACATCATCAATGTATTCTTTTTTTTTCTTCTTATATATATATACAGATGATCAAAGAAAATACAGAACCTAAAGATGAACAAACAACTATAATTCCATCAACATCTTCAATCAATCATACGGTTCAACAATTAACTACAATAAATAATACACAATCTATAATTAATAATAAATGGAAACAAATATCTTTACAAGGTCTTGATATAACACCACAGGAAACTAAATTAAAAATTTTCAATCCATCATTTCATTCAACAACACAACAAGTAAATATTTTCTTTGTGTTTTTTGACATTAAAAAATAAAATCAAAGTTTTTGTTTTTTAATTATTTTATTCAAGTCTATTCAAAATAAAGCAACTGTTCTTCATCCAAATTCAATGCTTTCTTCATTAACAACTAATGATTTAACATTTTCAATGAATTTAAATAATAAAAATAAGGACAAATCAACATATGATAATATACCTAATGCAATTTATTATTCATTCAATAAAAAATCTAATCAACATTTTAACAGTAATCCATATGATAATTATCCAAGTATTTCTAATCAATATCCAAATCCTTTAGGTAATTTTCATTGACTTTATTTTCGTTTATTTTATTTTAAGTCATCAATATAATTTAAATATTTTTTTTTAAAGAACAATCATTACATACAAAACATTCTCAAAATATTCATTTAAAATCTCCATTAACATTTCAAATGACAACAAATGAAAATAATTATTATCATACAAATACATCAAAAGATGAATGTTCACAAATTCATCAACAATTACCGAACATATTTAGTCATATTAGTACTCCATCATTAGAATTATATCATAATAATCAAATAAACTCAATGAATTTAATTCAATCACCAATTGAATGTCATAATATTAAAAAAAAACAACCACGTACTAATCCAAACTATGTTAATATACAAATAAAAACAAATGATGGTTCATTACGTAGTACATATATTCGTATAAATGATATACAAAATTGTCAAATACCATCATCAATCTCATCCTCATCCTCATCCTCATCCTCATCATCGTCACCATCGAATAGTTCATCAGAACAAGATTCAATGCTATGTAATTCGCAATCCTATTTCAATGAACCAAATGGATATTTTCCAAGTGATGGAACAATTAGTACTGATAAAGTAAATAATGAACAAAGAACAGAAATAATCATGAATCAAAATTCATCATCATCATCATCATCACCATCAATGAACAGTAATGAGAATCAAATAAATGATATTTATACATTAACTAAGAAAACAAGTCTTATGATGGAACAATTTATAACATGTACTGATGGTAAAGAAAACTATAACTTATTGTGATGATTCCAATAGAAAGACAGATAGTAAAAAAAAATATGTTTTTAATTTTTAGATTTTGTTTTTCATTCGACAATAGATCCTATTAGTCTCAATTTTCAACAAATTAAAGTGATTAATAATGGTAAATTTCTGAATGATGTCATGCGTTCTTAAATCTGTCCTATTACTTTAATTTATAATTGAGTGAGATTATCCGGACGAATAATTCACTTTTCTTTAATTGAATTTCAAACGGAAGACATGATTTTTTTTCCAAAGATTATGTTTTCAATCACATAAAAATATAATAATGGTGTATTTCTATTTTTTTCTAGTTAATGATGAAACTAATAATAATAATGTTGTTATCAAATGTGGTACTAATTCAAATACATCAACACTTTCATCACCTATTTTACCTATTTATTATGATAGTTATTCGAATTCACCTTCAATAACATCTCATTGTAAATAATGTCTAGAATTTTAATCATTTACATAATGTTTGTTGTAATTTTTTTTCATAACAGCAATGAATCAATCACATGACACAGGTAGTATTGATTCATCATCAAGTTTAATACAATCTAGATCGCTTCATTTGAATGGTTTATGTAATAATAAAAAAAATATTCAAGTATCTGTTGACAAACAGGTAATTTTTATTTAATTAAAAAAAAAACGAACCCAAATAAAAACGTTTTATCTTATTAAATTCTTTTTTTGTGCATAGCGGATTCCATCAGTAACATCAACACAATCTTCAACAACAACAATGAATGAAATAGAAACTACTATATTATTTAATGATATGTTAAATTTAAATACACATAAACGAGGTTTATTTAGTAAACGTTTAACACAAGATAATTTATTATCATGGACAAAAGAAAATATAAAAAAGCCATTATTACGTACATTAGATAAAATACTTCGAAAAGAAGCACCAAATATATTTAAACTTATACAAACATATATGGGAGATAGAAAATCAAAACAAATTGCATCATTAAATACATGTTTAGAATTAACAACAAAAGGTTGGAGTTTACCATCAATACGTGATGAACTTTATTTGCAATTAATTAAACAAACAACTTATAATTATAATGCAGAAAGTTTACAACGCGGTTGGGAACTAATGGGTAAAAGAATTTTAAAAAAAAAATGTTTGTTTGGTTTTTTTTAATTTATTGATTTTTATTTCTTTAGCAATTTGTCTTTCATTTTTTCCGCCATCAAATAAATTTCAAATGATACTTGAAAATTATATATCAATACAAACAAATGGAAATGCTGATACATTTGAAGTACCTATATCAGTTTATGCTAAAGTTTGTCGAAAACGTCTAGACAAAATTCTTCAAACTGGTCCAAAACGAGGTTTAAAAAAACCAACTTTTGAAGAAATTGAGCTTTCGAAGGTAAATTAAAAGTCTGATACATGTAATTACAAATAAATGAACAAGAGTGAATAAGACGAGAGCAACAATAAATTATTCAATAAAGTTTATTTTCTTATTGTCTCTGTTGTCTGACGTATTTGAAAAGTTTCAAATAGCAACTCGAGTAGAGAAAACGTTTCCAACGAAAATATAAGAAAATAAAAATTATTATCAGATTTATAGGCACTCCAGAAAATCAATCTCCTAGGTTTTCATATCTTTGAGTTGCTATGATGTTTCCTAAGTGATACACAACAATTTAATTGAAGGGCCAAATATGGTTTTTCTATAAGAACTAGTAAAAGAAAATTTTTGCGGCTTTGTATAATATAGCTTTATCTCAGTTGAGAAAGCATCGTAGAGCACTCGAAGACATCTCGTTTGATAGAAAATTGTTTTTATATAGTCTAAACAAAATTATGTTTACTTGTTCTAAATGCTGAAAAACTGGAGTCTGGGTGTGAATGTTATAGTAATTTTTTTTTCTTCCATATAAAATAGAACGTGAACTTCGATGAATAATTTGACACCCACTATATGTGTAAAATCGATAAAACTCACAAGAAATTGTCCTCCAAGTACGAGAAATTGTGAGTACAATAGAAGCCGAGAAGTTTTTGAAAAATTTTGTAAGGATTTGAACATCAAGTTACGACAATTCTGTTAAGATTTTATAATTCCTAGTGACACGTTTTGATAAAAAGTCAAACAGTGGAATTTCTGTGTGAAATTCTTTTCAAAAGAAAACGGTCACAATCACACTTTTTCTTTCTATAATGTAAAACTTGTCAAAAGAAGAAACTATTCTACGTCAAACTTTTATGATGTCTTTAACATAGTCAGATTTCTTTATGAACAAATTTTAAGATACAAAGCTTCAAGTTCATATCTTTTTTCTTAATATCTTTCTAAAGATTAACAGCAGCATTTTAAAACTTCTTAAGGAAAGTTTTGAATATCTTGACATTATCAATATCTATGGTTGCTTATAATATGAAATTTTAAATAATTAAAAACTTGAGACGATCTCTCATTAGTCTCACATGATTCATATCTTAATCTTAGACCAAAGGTATATTGTTTTTTAGCATACAATTCATTTTCCTTCCATGTTCGGTAGTACTCTTGAAGAAGTAATGGCCATGCAACGAACACGATATCCTGAAAGACGTTTACCATGGATTCAAACAACCTTATCTGAAGAAGTATTAAAATTAAATGGTACAAACACTGAAGGGATATTTCGGTAAGTTTTGAAATTTTTATTCTGAATATCAATTTTTTTTTTTTGCTTTCTTTTTAGAGTACCGGGTGATTTAGATAGTGTTAATGTATTAAAAGTAAAATGTGATCAATGGCAACTTCCATCACTTGAAGATGCTCATTTACCAGCATCATTATTAAAACTTTGGTATCGTGAATTAGCTGAACCATTAATTCCAACAATGTTCTATGAAAAATGTATATCGAACTGTGATAAAGCAGAAACATGTATACGTCTTGTTAATTCATTACCGGATATAAATCGAATTGTTCTAACATATCTTATTCGTTTTCTTCAAGTAAATTATTTTTTTCTTCAAGAAAAGAACAATGATTGTTTTTTTGCTCTAGATATTTTCTACACCGGAAAATGTTCTTTATACAAAAATGGATGTGAATAATTTATCAATGGTATTCGCACCAAATATCCTTCGGTGCAATTCCGAGGATGCAAAAGTTATATTTGAAAATGCAAGAAAAGAAATGTTATTTATTAAAATTCTTATACTTCACTTGGATACTGATTCAATGGAAGGTGTTATCTAATTTTTCATCTTATTATGCAAATTCTCTTTTTTCTTTTTGTTAAGGCTTTTTTTCTTTTCTTTCTTTTGTTTTTTTTTATATACGATTATCAATTTGCTATTTTATTTTCTTGTTCATTAGAATCTCGTACATCCACCTAATTGTATATGACACACATGTTTTTACTTTCTCTTTTACTCAGGAACTTATATTTGTGCTTATGTTTATGTTTGTAAACAGAACAGTTTCACAGCGTTTATGCAAATTAAAAGAAAACATTAAATAAAAACAACCGATGCTAGTCATTGAATTGATTTTTGATGAACAATATCATTTAAGTATATGAAATCATGTTTATGTGAGATATAATTTAATAGATGAAATCGAACAAGGTTCTTCTTTTTTGCGTCAAAATAAATTTGATAAAGTTCTATCGCGAGATTTGATAAAACGCTTCAATGTGTTTATATATGTTCACTTTCGAGCTTATAATCAAATTGTGAAGGATATTCATAATTGAATTGTATAAAGAGTAATATAAGACTTAGACGATGAAGCAAAGAACGAAATAAATATATTTGTATTTGATTAATCTGTTCTTGAAATAATTAATGCTTTTGTGTAATCTTGAAGGTAATCCCTTAAAACTTATTATAAATAAAAACAAAAGTTTTGTTTTTTGTTTATCTAAGTAATGGATTATGTTAAAAAATTTTATATAAAATTTATTTTTTAAACTTCATTATTTCATATAGAAGAAAGGTACAGTTTACACGTAGCTAATTATAATATAAGTGAAATTCTCGAGAAGAAAAAAACCAAAGTTGCAAAGTTTTGCTTTGATACATCAACAGATAAGATTAGCTTGTAAAATAATGTCCAACAATTTTTATTTTCTAAAAACTAAATGTAATAATTTGGTTAGTTAGTACTAGAATATTTCATCATTATTGTATTTTTGTTTTGTTGTTAATTCCCCAAAGAATGTTATTTGATGTTTTATTTTTTAATTGAAGACATCTTTTCTCATACATATGAAATATTTATGCATACTATACATAGAGCATTGATCTATTGGGAAATCTAGAACTTTCAAGTTTATACTATTATCGAAATTAATCTGTAACTATAGAATTACAAATTTTACAGAAAAATAACACACTGATTATTAATATTTCAAATATAACTTGAATTATCAATGCGTTTTTTTTCTTCTGTATTATTGTTGTTAGGCAACAATTTGTATTACTCATGAAAAATAATCATACAAATATATTTATCCTGCATGCAATCAGATAACAAGAATCAATAGAATAACATTACAAGTAATTTTTATATAGGCCGTCGTTTTGTCTTCAGTTAATTAATTATCTTCTATTTTAATAAAGATAAGGTCACTAATAAATAAAATTGCATGATTTTGACAGTTTATATATTAATTATCAAAACCATAAGTCATAATATAATGATCAGAAAAAGCAGTAAATCTTCTATTATAATCATGTATTAAAGTATTTAATCATTCTTTATTACATATACAAACCTAGAAACTACGACACCCACCCATAAGGAAGTAGTTGAAATCTGACAATGACTAATTAATATCTGAATAGCTATCCTTATTTATATACTCCATAGTTATTTATCAGATGTTATTCTCTATGGTCAGGTTTGTTAAGTTTGCGCTGAAGTTCTCTATACATAAGTCATTAACTATAAATAAGACATAATATAGAAAGTTAATTATCCGATCGAAATTCAGTTTTACTTTTCAAAGCTAAAACAACAGCTATTTAATACCAAAATAAAATGAAATAAAATCGATTTCTTTTTCTCCTCAGAAAAAAAAAATAAATAACGCGAATAAAACCTACATGTATGCATGTCAATATCGATTATTTCAAGTTGACCAACTATTTTAAACATCATATCTACTACCTATGATGAAAGTTTAAATTTAAATTGAAAAACAAATCAAAAATAAAAATAATCTTGTATTCGAAATTGATTTATTTGTGTCAAAAAACAAACGATTGTGAGCAAAGAAGAAACACACGACGCATATATAATTATAGTAAATAAAGACTAGTCAGCATCAAATAATATAATAGTAAACAAAAATTGTTTGTATTTTAATACGAAGTAATTATACGTATATATGTGTCTTTTTTCTGAAATACTCTTTTTCTTTTTCGTTGAAATATACATAGAAATGTAAAGATCTTTTCTAATTTAATATACAAAAAGCAAACAAAAAGAAAAAAAAAACGAATTTGATAACTTTTCGTGTTGTATGTGTTAAATATTAATAATAAAGCGAAATAGATCGACTAGTAAGACAAACAAAAGAAGAAGAAAAAACAAAGTGTCACATGCACACATCTGACAACATATACAAACGAAAGAGAGAAAAAATATGAGAGAAAGATATATGGAATAGAGTATTATTATTATTAAGCAATTTCTTTTTTTTTGTGCTAATCATATAATTTGTTATTTCTTTTTTTCACTGTGTTTACATCTAACCTGACTAGAAAAGTCATAAGAAAAAGAAGAAGAGTCACTGGAGTCTTTTTTTTCCAAAGAAACAAAGGCTTATTGAGAACAAAAATATAAAGAGAACGTTCCGATCGTTTGATGTTTTTCTTTTTTTTTTTTTTTTGAGCATAATATTAATATAATCCACAACCACGAAGATTTAATGTAATAATAACCTATGAAAATAAATCGAATCTCAATTAAGATTTATTTTTATAATATAAGAAAAAAAGATATTTACATCAGTAACAGCATCGAATACAAACTGCACATTTTGTGTGTCAGTTGCGCATGTATGATGGCAATAAACTTCTTTTTGTGTTGACTTATTTTTAGCAACAAATTGTGCTTGAATATATTCAGCAGCTGGATCATATTCATTCGGTCCTGTATATTCACGAAAACATAGTGTTAATGGTGAACGTTTGATTTTTTCTTCGAATAGATCCTTTTTATTTAAAAATAATATTATACCCGTATAAACAAACCTAACAATAGAAAATTAAAGTTTTGTTTTTCTTTTTGTTAATATAAATGATTTAAAGAAAAAGAAAAACAAACCATTTATTATTACAAATACTATCGAATAAACGTAATGATTCATGCATACGATTTGTTGATTCATCTTCATACAGTACTTGATCATATTCAGATAGTGCTACACAGAAAATAATAGCAGTTACATCTTCGAAACAATGAATCCTACATTATAAAAAAAGAAAAAGAAAAAGTTTTAGATTTATCTTTGAATAAAATAAAAATTTCAACAAACCATTTCTTTCTTTCTGATCTTTGTCCACCAACATCAAATAATCGAAAATTTAAATTTTTAAATGAAAAATTAATTTCTACAATTCCAGTTGTTTTAACACGTGTTCGTAATATATCTTGTTCATTAGGTAAAAAGTCTGGCGAACCGATTCGATATAATTGATCAAGAAAATATTGTGCTGAATCATTTAACTGATATTCATTACTACGTAAAAAACATTGTTGAACACCAGCATCAGCCCACAAACGTTCCATTGATGATAATAATTCACTATTAAATGGTTCTGTATCTTTCATACGTTGTATAACTTCAAGTACACGTTGAGCATCAGCTTCTCGTTCAACTGATGCAAATTGTATATTAAGCATATTCATAGCTCGTATTATAGCTCCTAATGATTGAATTGTATTTGAATAAACAACTGGACGATACTGTTCAAATTCTTCTTTTGTATAACCATGCTGATGAATAATACGCATTTGTTTAACAATTGTTGATTTACCCGATTCACCAGCACCTATACATTTAAATGATAAAAAAAAAGTATTTAGAAAAATCTGTTTTTGTTTTTATTATTTTCATATACCGAGTAATAAAAGTTTAACATCTTTAGCTGCACGCTCGGCATCTTCTTTTATCAACCGATCAAGTGCTTTGCTATACTATAAACGAATAAACAAAGAAGTTTTTATTAAATCATATTTTTAAATATTAAACGAAAAAATAATTATAAAAGCATTTTGATATTATTTAAAAAAAACAATGTGTTTTGTTAATCAAATCAAGGCGTTATTTTTTTTTTATAAATCTTACTCTTAAATAACTTCTGAAATCAAACAATCAAATAATAAACAAAATAATCCAATATGATCGATTGAATTACTTACTTCTTTTTGTCGTTTCTCGTCTTGACTTGTTGCGCAACCCATTTTAAATATTTATACTTTATTTAATATAAATAAAATATGAAAATATTCATTTACACAATTCCAATCGATAGGTTTTTTTTTCTTATTCTATGGAATAATCTTAGAAAAGAACAGTTATGACGAGACGCCATTTTTTTCTTTTCTTCAATGATTCAGCATTTTTATTGGTAAATGTATAGATGCTTTAAAATAATGCATTTTAAATCATTTTTAATCGAAAACAAAAAAATATTTATAATAAAATATAGAAATTTCGTTTAAATTCAAAAACAAAATTCATCTAATCGTTAATCGTTAGTTTTAATAACCAATAAAGTTACCTCGGAGTTCTAGGCTATTCGTTTGTTTGTTTTTTAGAAGATTTTATTTGAGTTTTAAAATTAAAAAAAAATGAGTTTAACTATTGAAAATCTAATTGTCGAGATGAAACAAGAACGAACAAAAACAAAAAATGTTGAAGGTAATTTTAAATTATTATAAAATAATTTAAAGATAATATTAAGCTTTAATTAGATGATGATTTCATAGTTGTTCAACAAATAAATAGTCAATGGCCAAAAATATTTGATACGTATTTTTTATCAACAACACGTCTTGCTCAAACAATAGCTGGTACATCAACTGATGATGATCTTATTTTTTATGTTACACGTAAAGTAGTCAATGATTTGCAACATGCATTAGTACATTTTGAAAGATACATTTTTAATGAAAATATTTCAAATTCTCGTTTTTGTTAAGTATACAGTAGAAGTTTTTCGTCATCATGATACAAAACGTCAACCAAAATTAGTAAGAAATAATCAGTACAAATTATAATAAAGATAATAGTTTATAGGCATCACCAGACTATGATTGGGAAGAAACAACCAATCTTAATCTTGTTCTTCATCAATTTGAATATACAGTAACAACAGCTGTTTGTCTTAAACCAAGTAGTAAACATTTACAAATTATAAAACGGTTATCAACAGTAAACAAATCTATTTATTTCATACAAAGAATTATATTTATATATTGTTTTTCGTTTTTTTTTTCTAGAAAGTTTATGCAAGTCCATCACATCGTAATATGGAAAATAAAGGAACAGGAGAAAAAATAACTTATCCAAATATTTATTTTACTGTTGATAATTTTGAAGACGTAAGATGATTTAAGAAAAATTATTAAAGTATAATTAGATATTCTTCTAGAAGTTTTGTGAAATGGTTGCCAATGAAGGTCAAATTGTATGTGTTGAATTAGTAGCAAGAAATCCTGCTTTAAATGTTTTAAGAGTTTTATTTCTTGGTTCTATTAAATATGAAGCTTTAAAAAAAGTTTATGAAACTCGAGTAAAGATTTCAAAGATAAATAAAACGAATTTGAAATTTAAAGAATTTTCTAGGCCACAACGAGTACTCGTGTCGCTCAACGAATGTCATTAGGAATGTATACAAAACGACGAGTGGAATTTGTTCGAATGCGTGGACCCAATGTAAGTGTTTCTTTTTTTTGTAAGTGAAAAATTAGATCATCATCTTCGTGATGGATGTAAATGTTAATAGTAAATTTTAGAATTGAGATTCACGTTATAATTGAGTGAAAATTAAATTTCAAGTCCTGAAATGAATAACGATTATTGATTATGTTTTATTTTATGAACTAAAAAGTAGTGATGAGAGTTTTTTTTTAGTATATACAGTTGATCTAATAAATGAAAGTTAGATTGAAGAAAAAAGTTTGTGAATAACGCGTTAATGAAATGACAAATAATTCATCATCCGATTTTTAAATCGTTGATCAAAATTTTAAATCTAACATTGGTCTTAAGATTAATGTTTAATATTGATGAGTTCGCTCTCAGATACGGTACTGACTCAGACTAATATGAGACTTGACAGAAATTGACAATTTCAAGTAATAGATGTTTACTCGTCTTATTAGAAGTAATAAGTATTCAACTGATTGGATTATATTAGTATATCTAAAACCTTGATCTTCTTAGCTCAACTATATTAGAAATAATTCGAAATAGTGCAACTCGTAGATTCAGTTTAAAGTTTTTCTTTGACCTTATGTTTTATTCTTCTAATGGATGGTCCATAAAAAATTTTACATTTTGATTTTTTTTTGAAGACAGCAATATAGCTAAAGACACCATTATAAACTCATTCGATAGGGAATTTTTCACTCTACAAAACTGTTGGCTTTGTTCTTCAAACAAGTTTTTCCTGTCGAAGAAAAATCACAAAGATTGTCAACCATTCAATCATTGGATTGTGAGAAATAACAGTACCACCGAAATTAGAAATATTCTACAAGACATGTCATGAAATGTTGCATCTCACGATGCTCCGCAATTTTATTTAAAAATAATAATAGAAAGAACAATTTTTTAAGCAAAAATTAGAAAATAATGCAAAAGACTTTCTGATAGCTCTATGCTATTGGGAATAATCCAAAGATTTTTCTTGTTCGGTTTAAATGTTACATCATTATATTCAGAATTAAATACTACGCCAGATGATATAATGATAAACTGTTCATTGAACAAGGTAACTTTTGAAAACACGAGTCTCGAAAGCTCATTCAAAATAAAATTCTCGCTGATGTTAATTCTAAGTCTTTTGCATCTGAATAACATCATTAGAACTCTTGTAAGGATCTTGGAAGTATAGAGCATAAAATTCTCTATCTATTGATGCTTAATATTTTACAATTAACATTGAACCTGATGACTACAAGCTTGCAGAAATAGAGAATTTTTTCCTCTTTCGAATCGCATATAACTTTTTTTTGTAACACACTCATAAACGAAAGAGTGCAACAGAAAAGAGAAGCACCTTAAAAAAAATTCATACTTTTCGTGAGATTCAGAAAATTGGCGTAAAGAATTGTTTCTTATAATTCTTCGACAAACATGTTTTGAAACAACTATTTTGTTATCAGTTAATAGGAAATTTTCTCCTGTTTCGAACAGTGTAGGATTTATATTCGTCGTACATTCTCAAATGAAATAAGACAAGAAAAAAGAGAAATATGCGTGCAATAAATTTATAATATTTATATGAGCTTATCGAAAACAGGTTGTTAAACAATAATTAATGCAATTTTTGTGGACTTATTAAAAAGGTCTTATCAAACAGTGGTTACTTCGACTTTTATGAACTCGTTAAAACATCTTACACCCACGCCCAAATACTTCATATCAACAAATAAAAAAATATTCTTTTCAGAACCCACTTATCCAAGAGATATAAGAATCGACATTTTGTGTAGTCCTTTTATAGAGAAGTACGGATTCTTTTTAAGAGCTCTTCTCGTTTTTGTTGCATTCTTTCGTTTATGAGTGTGTTATAAAAATAAGTTATATGCTATTCGATGGAGAAAAACAATTCTCTATCTTTTAATAAAACAACTTTTCTTCCAGTACCTATTTATCAAAGAGAAATAAGTGCCGACAATTGTCCGGCTACTTTTGTATCATATGTTAGTTTGAATAAGATAAGCGAGAGATGTAAATGGAAGATTCACAAAATAAAAAAAAAAATAAAAAATACAATAACATATTTCCTCTTCGACATCATTTCTATGAATAATAAGTATAATCAACGGGCCTACGTCATTGAAAACAATAAGAATATATTTTTCAAAGCATTTCTGGATTAATTATCAATTAATAATTTAGTTAAACTCTTAAAGATTGCAAATTAAATACTTAACAAGAAAATGTTTAGAACAATATAATATTATAGGGCAAAGGTCATGCAGAAATGGCTGTTAGTCGATTTCGACCAATTCAATCTGAATTAACATCACCTGAATCAACTCCAACAACACCAATGACAAATACATTTGATGAAGAAAATGATGTAAAAAATAATTATTCCATAGAATAGATTTTTATTTTTCTTTATTCTATAGTGGAATCAACGTCGTACAATTGATAATGATTCAGCGAGCCAATGGGTTCCACCAACATCGAAACAACAACGAAGTTCATCTGATGCAGCCACACCAGAGGTTGAATCAACAGATATTCAAAAAGGTTATTTAGAAAACTATATAAAAATAAATTTTTTGTAACGTCTTTGTTTATTTAAGAATTATCTGATGATACAAGTGGTTTTCTTGGTCGTACATTAAATCAAGCAATGAGTTGGATGCGTGGATCAAATTCAAATCTTAATCAATCAATAAAAACTCCTCCATTACAAACCTGTCTTACATATCTAACATTACCTTGTCATTTAATTGTGAAAGATATTCTTGAATCAAATTCAATACCTATTCTTACAGCTCAGTGATTAAAATGAAATATTCAAAAAATGACGAATCATTATGTGAAACATTCTTCCGTATTTGCTTTATATAAGTGTAATTTTTTTTGTTGTATAGCAATATTGTGAAATATTTAAGAAACGTTTATTTTGTATTTTGTTTAGTTTCATATTTTGTTTTTATTAAGTGAAAAACAATCAGTGATTTTTCAATATATACATTTATTTTCTTAATCTTGATTTTTATATTTGTTATCCTTGAGATAATATATCTTTATGCTGATCATCAAATTTGTTTATTATTCGTTGAAATTTTGGATTAATTCAACAATATTTATCTATTGTTATTGATTACAATAAAAATATTAGATATATTAACTAAAAAGAAAACACACTTATTACAACGAATGTCGTGATGGATTTAAAAACCTCTAAACTGGAAATAAAATTGTATGGGACAAGACTCGTGCGTTATTTACAAGCCGCTTACGAAAGTATAGGTATTAATCAGATTATATTATCTATATTTATTAGTATGCGAGTAAGCTATCTAGAGATATTGATAAAATAGTTTTATTTTAATTTATCTGTATGAGATAAAAATGGAATTGAATATTGGTCAATGGTGGATGAATTATCGATTTGTCTCATATTAGAAATTTTCATATTTGATTTTCCATACAAGAGATGAATATTAAATGTTGAATTATGAATAATGCTTGCTAAATATTTGACTTATTAAGTTAACGAGTTGTATTTTCATATAATCCAACGAATACATAAGTAGTTAACATATCCTATAGAAATTCGAACTGTAATCTTGCAAATTGAAGGAGTAAGTTGAATGTTTTTAGCAGAAAAAATGTTAATCTATGTTATGGGTGTAGCATGACAGATATTTTCAATTTAATTTACATGAAAAGTAATTTGAAAATAAGTATAAATAGATATTTCTATTCTAGACGCATGAGATTATTGACTATTCTTTCTATAAAAGTTGAAATTTGGTTTGCCGAAAATACTTCTAATGCTATATTGAATTAGTACAGCATTCTAGCACTCTTATATAAAAATAGAGCTTCTGCATTTGATAGATCGTCAAAATCGCCTTCTTCAGTTATCTGAAACAGACAGAAAAACAAAATCATCGTTTTTTTTACTTCTATCGCTTGAACGCTTTTTCTTAAAATACAAAATATTGTTAAGCAAAAAGGCTTACTTACTTTAAAAGGATATGATCTATATAGCATGAACAGCTTATATCATTGATTGCTACATTGAAAAACAAAGAGTGCAACTTGTCGAATTAAAATTGGTCAGTCTGAAATTTGTGAGAAATGCTTGTGACAGTACGGAACTCAAGCATTCATGACGACTTTAACTACTAATATGCTTAGAAGCAAAAAACATTATACAAGTCTTATTTACTTCTGTGTCCCATAATGCTATGAGACTTTTTTCAGAAAAAACGCAAACATATCTATTGACATTGGTTACTTGAATGAAATTCCTAGGTCGATAATCAGTCATATAACATCTAGAGAGATACATGGAATTTTTCTCAGGTTGACTTCAGATTTGAATAGCTTGCTCTCTTTCCTATCAATTATATTATGAGAAAGTTTTATCGTCGGCCCTGATTTCCTAAAGCGAAGTGAAGCTTCAGCTATTTCTGTAGCTTCGCCCTCAGCAATTGTCAGTCATAGAGGCTGCTTATTTTTGATTGGCTCGAACGGTTGGATTAATAAGCACACATGTTTGTTTTTGCTTACGTCAAACCGTCTCTCTCTTCTATGAAAATAGGGCGTTTTACAAATAGCTTAACAATGTAAACATATCGTCTAAATGCCTTCTATTATAATCAAGTCATTGTTCTATTTTAGAAGTTTCATATTTTTGAAACACAACTTCATTTCGATGGAAAACTAATTTAGTGTAATAATATCTTCGATGATTAATGTTATAGTTAATGTTCAATGAGCTATGCATCTTTATTTAATAATATACAATCTGCATAAATCAAAGATATCACATTTGTTGCTGATTATTGATTGATTTTGTTGTTCCATTGAAGACAACATTTTTAAATTCTTGATTCACGTAGTTTAGTAATCAAAATTAGCGATGATTTTATCATATTCAATAAGTTAAAACGCTATACAATGATTGTGTACTCGACAAAACCTATAAATGATCGACAATAACAATTTAATAGAAAGTGATTATTTACTTTATGTCATTCACAATATAAGGTAAGCATTTTTTTGTTGCTGTCTCGTCTTTCTATTTCTTTGTGTTTTATCATTTAGACATCCAATATATATCATCACATAGTTGATTTAAGTATATCAGTTGGTGTGTCTTCTACTTTAGTTTATGTATTGGTAAGTGCGAATTGTTTTCCATGTGTTCTATCAATACGATTTTCTTCTTTTTCACTTAGTTTAGACTAACAACGTTTATTCAAATAATGGTAACAGAAAATAACAATAACGAAAAAAGAAATATTAACACTTAAGTGCCAAAAATATGCAAGATCCTTTATACTTTATAGATTCAGTTAAAATTTATCTGATATCGATGTAGTCGATAATACATTGGCTGTAATCGTTGATATCAGAGCAATACGTATGTCGACGAAACAATGTATAAAATTTAAAGAAAATCTTTTGTAAAATAGCTGACTTATTCGTAGTTTTCTTTTTAATCAAAAGATGTTTCTAAATTTTTGTATATATTCAAATAGTATTTATCTTTAAGAAATAAAGAACTCATTGTCTTGTCTCGTTTTCTCATTCACTGATTCCATTAATCTTTCATTTAAAAAGAAAAATTTAAAGAAAATTGCATCAAAACCAGTCTGTAACAAACATACACATTTTGAAATTTTGTTGAATCTATTGATCTAGTGAAAATAAAATTTTGTAAGGCTACACAATGGCAAAAAGAATTGTGAGATTTTGGAATATTTAATATCATGTAAATACAAATAGTAAAAAATAAAATTTATTTTTTAGATAATGAATTCAGCACAAATAGATGATAATAATATCGATAAACAACATTTTGAATTCTACGATAAATTTCAAGTTCATGAATTGATGTTACGTGATCGTCCACGTGTTGCTGCTTATTATGATGCTATTATGAATAGTAAACATCTATTTGAAAATAAGGTATTTTTGTAATTCACATTTATATCGTGTCGACGTAACTTCAATGGAATTAAATACAAAATAAATATCAGTCAATTAATGATATTAAAAATAATATTAAAATTACAGTTAATTAATGATAATTTAAAAAATACTATATAAAATTACAGTTAATTTTTCATTTTAAAAAAAAATATTTATATGATTTTTTTACGAATAAACATAAAAGAAATTATTGAAAAAACAAATTAAACGTTACTTTTTGTTCATACTTTATATGATTATAGATCTATTCTGACGATACTAAGGTCTGTAATTAATGAAAGGGATCTGTAGAATATTATTCTCTGATTTAAACAGCACATAGCTATAGAATTAGAATTACTCTCACAATATATTTTATACCAGAAAGTTCTTTCCATTTTTTGCTGTGAAATTTGATTTTCGTTTTGGCATTAAATGCATGACTAACAATAAAAATAAATACAACATCCAACTACAAGTAAAAACGACGGCAAGGTTATGACGAAAGACCTAGTTTTGGATGCAGAATACGTACGTTGAACTTTGTTTTTTTTTCTCTAGTACAGTCAAAATATGTTATAAACTGCAAAAGATAGATCAAAATTTTTCAATATCAACAACGAATTTCAAAGCATAAATCCTTATAGCATCTTCTTCGAGATTAGTTTCATTGCATTGAAAACAAAACTGTTATTTTAGAAGGTTTCAAAAGTTAAAACGAAATCGAAACCTTTCTAAGCTATTGTTAATATCTAAGAAACCTGCTGAAGATTTTATACAGCTCTATCACACATGAACAAGGTTTCGTAGTTTATTTAAAATCTTAAATAAAGTTTCGATCTCTTTTGAATTCTCCGAACTTTTTAAAGTTCTGTACCGTATCTTTTTTGTTTTCATAGTGGTAGAATTTATATTGAACTAATACATAAATAAAATTGAAACGTTCTACTCAAAAATCCCGTTAAGTTAAATTTTTGTTTGACTCTAGTAAGAGTTTCACTTGTCCTTATATGTATTATTTTTCTTATTATTGCAAAGTTAAAGTTTTGTTTAAATCACAACATAGCATTCTAGAGATTTCTTTTATTAGTTATAAACTTTAGTGTCGTCAAAATAGACAGATAATCAATTAAAGTATGAAAAAATTAACTGTAATTTTACACATTTTTTTTTTCCAATACCATTAATTAACAAATATTTATTTGGCATTTAATTGAATCGAAGTAACTTCAATATGACATATGTATATATATATATAACGGGTGCGACAGAATAAATGGTCGATCAGTATTTTGTTGACATTTCGGTCTCTTTTAATCGCTTAGATTTTATTTTTTTGCCAGAAGATTTGCCGCAGAATTCTGCACAAAATAGTATAATATACTTAACTAATACGTTTTTCTTTCTTTCCAGAGAACAACTTTCTAAATCTGCATTTTTTTTTTCGAAAAAAAGCATTTTTATTCTTAAAATATTATGGCTTTCGTTATGACACGTTGACAGCTTATTGTGGTGATTAATCCATTCTAAATAATAATTAATAGAACATTAGTAATGTGAATGACATGTAAATGTGTCATAAAGAAATCCACAATGTTTTAAGAATACACATGCTTTCTGAAAAAAGAAAATAGAAAAAAAAATGCAGATTTAGAAAGTTGTGTATGATCTTAGTGCTCAAAAAATCCACGTTCTTGCAAGAAAGCAAAAAAATGTATAAGTTGAATAAGTAATACTGTTTTATGCAAAATTCTATGACGAATCTTTTGGCAAAAAAAATAAAGCCAAAGTGATTCAAATTGACCAAGATATCAAGAAAATACTGATCGACTTTTTATTATGCCGCACTCGTTATAATGGAAGAGTTATATTTATCAACAAAAAACATACAGGTTGTTCTTGATGTTGGTTCTGGATCAGGAATATTAAGTATGTTTGCTGCTAAAGCCGGTGCTAAACTTGTTTATGCTGTTGATGCTTGTCCAGCAATATGCCATTTAGCTGTAGAATTAATTAAATGTAATCATTTACAAGACAAGATTCAAGTAATTAATAAACATATTGAAGATATTGACCAATTCGATGAAAACATCGATATTATTATTAGTGAATGGATGGGTAAGATTTTTAAAAAAGCCAACATTTTATATTTAAAATTTAATCTCAAATATATGTATGTAAAAAAAAGAATAGTGAATTTCAGGCATGACATATTTTTGAAATAAAAAACCATATGAAGTTAATCTATTTAGGTTTTTATCTCTTTCATGAAAGTATGCTTGAATCAGTTATTTATGCTCGTGATCATTTTCTTAATTTATCATTACACAATGATGATATTACACCTGAACAAAATGAATCAATTGTTATTTTTCCTTCACATGCTTATTTGGTTTGTTAATTTATTTTCTAGTTTTTTAAAATATATCTTGAAATATAATGTGTTGTGGTTTTCTTTATGTTCTAGTATTGTGCTCCATTTGTTGATCAACATATACGTATTGAAGTAAATACAATGTGGAAAGATTATTTTGATCTTAATATGTCACCTATTCTTCCACATATAAGAAATTCTAATCTTAAAGAATGTGTTTTTGAAACAATTGAATCATCACAACTTGTTCATGATGCTCAATTAATACAATCAATTGATCTTCGTACAATACGAATAGATGATCTTCATACAATGCGTTCATTTTGTGAATTTGATATAGATAATACATGTATTATATCAGGTTTTTGTTTTTGGTTTGATTGTTATTTTTCTTCAAATAATAATTCATCTATATTACGTTCAACACGTTTAACAACAAGTCCATATTCAACAAAAACTCATTGGAAACAAACGCTTGTATTTTTACCAGAAGATATTTATCCATTAAAAGGTGATATAGTACCGGTGAATATTAAATTAAAAAGATCCTTAAATAATCGACGACAATATCAATTATCAATATCTATTAAAAAAATAAAAGAAGGTTTTATGAATAGTTATATTATAGATGATGAAACTTCAAATAATGATTTATATATACGAAAAAGACAAAGACGACGTTCATCAACTATTTCATCAGATAAACGAATTATTAATGATACGAAACCAATACATGCAGCAAGTGATAGTACAAGTAGTAATAGTGATGATGATATTGATTTAAATGAACATCCTATACCATGTTCATGTGTTCGTGATAGATGCAAATTAATTAAAACAATTTTTGAAAAATATAGTGAAGAAAATACTGTTCAATGAAATGGCCATTTGCTTTTTTTTTTAATATTTTTTTTAATGAAAAAAATTAAACCCAAGTTTGTTGTGTGTTTAACCAAATCTCGGGCCTCTGTGTGCATGTGTGTGTTTTGTAATTTAGAAAGACGATGCTATCATAAGAGTATCGCTATTTTTTTTTTTAGATAATGAACAGAAATTTACAACGAACTCATCAGAACAAACATCCGAAGTCATCACAAAAATCTCATACGATTCTGCGTCGATCAAATAAAACCGCTGAACTATCATCTCAACTTCCACAACAATTCGACATTCATTCTGAACAAACATCGAATAATTTCGATTATGATCTTTTAAATAAAATTATTGAAGATTTAACATCAGATATTGATGATACACGAGCAACATCAACATCATCTATTCTTTCAGAAAAATCAAAAAGTAAAAATGATGAAACAATATCACCATCAATACAAGATAAATTTTTATCAGTTAATCCATTACGAAATCCTAGATGTTTAATAGAAAAAAAACCTTCACGATCATCAAAAAAATCAGGAAAATCTGATCAATATGAAGAAAAAACTTTGGACTCAGAAAATCTTTCAAATAGTTTCGATGACAAATACCGTTTAAGAAATTCGAGAAAATCCATTGGTGAACAACGACGTGATCAATTAACGAAACATATGAAAGAATTTTATCAAGCTTGTTTTTTATTTGATCAAAATTCAAATATAAATTATATTCATGATAATCTAACAAATAATGATAGACGAAAGCAATATTCTACAGCATTATGGTAAATCAATGAAAAAACAAAAAATTCTCTCTCTATTTTTTAACTTAATCTTTTTCAGGTATGAACTAAAAATATTTTTTAATGGAATAAATTCTTTAAATGAAGATGGTATTAAAGATGAACAATATTTAATTGATCGTCAACGAAAAAAATCTCTCGATGAATTTTATAATTTTTTTAGTCAATGTGATTTTGAACAATCACATTATCATGATACTCTAACAATTCAACGACGTCATATATGTGAACATCATTTAAATCATTGTTATGATGTTGAAAAATGTATGAAAAATTTATTTTTAAAATGGGATAATATATTATCATTATTTCCATCATATTCAGCACTTGAACAATATGATAAACGTTTTAATCCACGTACAAAAGAAGGAAAAATTTTTTATGAAAAATTTTATATTTTTCAAGCGTGGTTCAATTTACATTCAGAAATTAATCATTTAATTAATATACTTGGCCGTATAATGACATGTACGAAATGTTATATGTGGCCACAAGAAACAAATTTATCAATAGTAAAACTTATTGACAATTTATCTCGTCCAGCAACACCATCATCAACATCAAGTTATGAACACCGGGATTCAGTTATAGAATCTCCACCTACTATGTCACCATTTTTACCAACATCTGAAATAAGAGTCAAACGACAAAATACATTAACATCAATGTCAAGTTTTGATAGTATTTATCAACCACCATTAACATCAGCATCATCGTTAATGGACTATTATTATAGGTAAAAAAAAAGAACTAATTAGACCGAGAAAAAAAAAGATTTCCGATAAATAGAACACATGCTATCATAAATCTTTCTTTTTTCAAAATAAAAAGATCAATAGCGTTAAAACTGTCTTTTAGGATACTGAGTATTGTTTGAAATGTCTATTTTTGTAGTTTTGCTTCGACTGCAGCAAAAAAAAAAAGAAATTATTGAACAATATACTAGAATTCAATGTAAAACATGACAGAATGACGTTCCTTGAAAATTAAATAATACTTCATTGGTTTGTGAGTAATTATGTCTTGTCATGGCAGATTCATTATGAAAATAACAAAAAAGACGTATTAATTGAAGGGTATCATTGCAAGTGTAGAATGAGCAAAGGCGTTACAAGTCATCATAGACATTTCTATGGTTTCTATTTGTCAATTCTATTAGACTCGTGTTACAGAATTCAACATGCATTATTCATTGTATATCTTAAGTGACCGAAATATGATGAGTATTCTAACCATAGATTGACACAGAATAAGGCATCGTCAAGCCCTTTAAACTGAGGTCAATGATGGAATGGATCAGTAACCTAACGCAAAATTTTAATCGTGTTTAAATTCAGTACTCATATCCTTTTTTTATCATTTCAAAGGAATGTCATTCATGTATAAAAGACACATTATAATCGAGTAAAAATACTGTCATTTTAATTTATTTACACAAAGATAAGATATCCTTCAATGAAAAGAAGGATTCATTGTAAGTGTGTATCATGACTTAATTGAGTTGAAGTCTTTCATCACCATTTAGTAGTAAGACGAGATGAAATTTTTGTATGATTATTTCCTAGACGTTGTTATCATTATACAAGAGATGGTGAGCCTTCTCAAGATTGAAAGAGTTCGTGTTGGACGATGATGATTTGGAATGAGTATCACATACGATAAGTTTCAATCGAATCATTATTAACTGTCGGAACTACGTAGATGAAACATGTTTTGAAAGATTTATATTTACATTTAGTAAACGATTTCAAATGAGTTTTTATGAAAAAATGTTAGCTGAACGATCTATTTTACCTACTGTCCTGCCTTGATAATAGTCTCTAATTCTCATATTAACTTATTTTAAAAATCTACTCAAAATGATTAATAGAATATTCTTTTTACAATAAAGAAATTAGTGCGTTTCAAATAAGTTTTAATATCTGTAACGAAAAATCAAAACAAAAGAAACAGCCAGTCTTGAAAGTTCATAAAATTATTTAGAAGTCTTTATTTCAATTATGAAAAGAGGAAATATGTTTAACTGTAATCTATATTTAGATATGTTGATGATCAAGTAACACATGCTCGAATTGAATTAGTTGCAAGTATATTTCGTTCCAAACATGGTCCTTTATTACAACGTTTACGTTATACATATCGAAAAGAACATCGAACAAGTTTTCCAACATTTGATGATATATTTAAAAATTCTCCATTTTTTCCTAAAAAGCTAATTCCACATGATTATTTATCAGATGCTAAACCTGATAAATTAATCGATGAATTTTTTATTCTTAATAAGCAATTACAAGAACTAAAAAATCCAAAGCTTGGTAAGCTATTTTTCTTTCTGTTTTAATATACAGCACCAGTGAAAAATATAAGACTAACATTTTTTTTTTCTATGGTACCGAGGATTGAATTCAAACTCAAATAGTGATTTCAATATTCAATGAAGTTTTCTATCAAATGCATCCATATTGAAAATTCATAGATGTGCTATAAGAGAAATGTTTCTGCAAAACTAAACACGATAATTTTCATGGTCGTATTTTCTATGTCCTTGCCTTGAAATGATATAAGCATGATAAACAATGTAAAAAAAAAACGAAATTTAGCGTAGCATTGCTAACAGTCCACTTTTTTTGTGATCCTTATAACATTTGAAGAGACGATCGTAGGAACTGCAGAGCTCGTCATTTTATTCAGAATTTTGTACTTTCTCAGACGGTATTCTTAAAAGACGAATTTTTACACACTTTTCCAGAATTTGAAAACTACCGTCTTAGTTTCTCAGAAACCTTTCTCTCATTGTTCATCTATGAAATTTTGATATGGAATACATCTGATAGAGAACTTTATTGTTTATTCTAACTACTATTCGAATTTTGACCTGAATGTTTGATATCGTAGGAAAAAATCAAAAATACATCAGTCTTACATTTTTTACTAGTACTGTAAATATACATATAAATCTAATTTCATTTTTAATGAAAATAGCAAATAAACAAACGAAAAAATCCACAGGAATTTATTCTGATAAAGTAAATAATATTCTTAATCGTTTTGATCAAAATCCAACATTAACATCAAGTACATTTCCACCAGTACCGGCACCAACATTAGTTTTAAAACTTTTATCTAATGATCGAAGTATACTTAAACGTCAACCATATTATCTTGATTATCTTGATCCAACATCATATCCACATTTACCTGGATCAACATTATTTCCTGATCCATGTTTATTTCTTGATTATTCACCATTAAATTCCTATGCACAATTACCACCAGATGAAAATATTTTAATTGCTAAAATTTTAACAATATGTCATCGTCTTTATGATAAACATGTTTGGGTTGATAGTGGAAGATTTTCAGATATGTGTGATATATTTCATTTACCATCACTTTATCCACATTATGTTTTTCTTGTGCAAATTCCATTGGATTTAATGATTTCATGGCAAAAATATCATCAAGATAAAAAAATGGAACAAACTTCAACTACAAGTAATTAAAAACTACTTATTATCAGGAATTTTGGATGTTTTTATAGATTAATAGAAATAGATCTATAAATCATACACACTTATGTGATTCCAACCAGATAAAATTTCGCTCGTAGTTCGATAATTAAACGGTTGACTATCTCCTGATTGCCATTCTACTGTGGTATACTAATAGTTATTCTCTCGTGGCCAATCTACCACCGGTTCTTATGAATACCGCAATACTTCGAACAAAAATATGAAATGATAAGCGATCATCAATCACATATTGAAAAGGTTCTTTTCGAAAATTAGTTTTCCATTCATACATTTTTTTTTCATCTAAGTATCGTAAAAAAGTACTTACTGTTTACTGTCCTATGCAAACATCTAAAAGTATTGAAATCTCAAAAACTTCGTGTCTCTTTTTTCTATTAACACGAAAAAGAATTAACATATACGTTGGATTTATAATAATGAACAGGTATAGAAAACAGAAAGTTTAAAAGAATCTCGTAAAAAGAAAAACCAGTCTCCAAAAATTTTCAAAGACTCATCAAGCTGAAGATGATTTCTTTGATAGTATTATAGGGATTATGATAGTTATAATCCATATCAGAGATGAAGCAGCTTGGGATTTCAAACCGACTAGTACTACTTGTGAAAAGTTCAGACTGATTCCATTCTTGATTCGTATGAGAAAGGTCGAACTTTGTAAATATGAAATATACTGAAGCATTTATACAAAAAGTTATAAACAATTATTTTATCTTTTATGACTATCTCTTTTTAGTATAAAATAAATATGCTGTTATCTATTCGTTGAGTTGCAGAGACCAACGAATTTAATTCGATTCATATTATCAGGGATATTCTTTGATAATCCCTAAAACTGAAAAAAAAACAAAGTAGGAAGCTACGTTGATCAGACTTTTAATCTTGATCTGGAAAAAAAGCTTCTTCAAAAAAAAAAACATTCGAATTCGGGTTTCTATTGAAACACAATGAATGATTTGCTTTATTATAATACTTAAAAATATTAAATTTTATTCAATGAATTTTGTTATCTTCTTCTAGGTGCTCTTCTTTTATTAATTGATGAATGTAAAATCTTAATACATAGTGCAACATTAATACGGCAATATGTTAAATTAATGATAACAGATGCTTTTGGTATAGATTTTTTTGTTTTTGATTTTTCCGAATAATAATTTTCTTTGTTTTGTTTTTTGAATTAAGAAAAAGCGGAATTAAAATTAATTGAAGATGATTTAATTCAATTTGATAAAGATATAATTGATACAATGTATGAAATTCTTTCTTATATTGAACGTTATATAGATATATCATTAAATTCAAATTCATTTCATAATTGTATTATATTATTAAAAGATCAATGGAAATCATTAAAAAAATATTCAACTATGATGAATATTGAAGAAATTCTTGGTGAAAAATTTTTAAATATTTATTCAAAAATAATTAAACATTTTCATGAACATATTACTATATTTCATTCATCAATATTATCATCACCAGAAACAATTAAAATAGAACATATAAAAAAGAAAATTCATAGAAAATATCAAAAAAAATTAACAATGACTATATTACGTGAAGCTAAAGCAATATATGATGATTGTGCATTAACAATTAATATTTATTTACAAAAACCTGTTTGTAAAAGATTTTTACTTATACTTAAAACAGCTGGATTTGAAAGAATTAAATTTGGTAAGGAGAATTAACGGGTGGGGCAAAAGTTTTGCATTAATTTTGTTTTTGATATAACTCTGGAACGCAATGTCGTAGAGACTTCACTTTTTTTTGTTAGAAAGAGCAAAGTATCTAGTGCAAAAATATATAAAAGAATTTAATTGGAAATGTTTTTCTAAGACCACAACAATCTTAGAACCGAAGGCGTCAGAAAACTCTTCCGCAACTTTTTTGAACTGAGAAAAAATTTCCTATAATTAGACAGATTCTCTTTTTATTCGTCTAATGCAGATTTTATAATGTAAGGATAGAGAACTATTGCTTTACAAAAAAAGAAATTTTCTACATGTTTTATAACGGTAGAAATGAAGACTTTTATGATACCGTCTGAGTCACCGATTTTTCATCACTGTTGATAGCAGTCGAAAAAATAAACTCTATTTCGCAAGAGAGGTTGCCAGAAGCTATATATTTTATATGAAAAAGAAAGCTTATTGAGTTCTCTACCAAACGATATTATTCGGAATGGGACACAACTTCTCTGTGATATATTCAGACAAGAACTGGTTTTCCCGATGCAAAATCAAACTCGAACAATTAATNCAACAATTTCTATTAATCTGTTACTATCACAATAGATAGTCTTTAATAAAACATCAGTTTTATAAGAAGTAAGATCGCTAGATCTTTCACCTTTGTTTCAACAGTATAAAATTGATATATGATAAACTTTTTGTTCAAGAAGTTATTATAATCGTATCTATATATAACCAGAAACAATCCTTTTACTTCAGATTTAATGATATATGGCAATGTTTCATTCTTATTTTCTTTTAATTTTCCAAAAAAATCATGAGTATAAGTCAGAAGACTCTTGTATTAATAGTTTTTGTAAAGAACTCAACGAGCTGTATCTTTTGGCAAAAAAAAGACTTAGGAGTCTATGCTTTGTTTTTGCTGAGATAGTTGAAAAATATCAAATGCTGCAACTAACAAGGAGTCCTTAAAGTATGATACTTCTAGTATTTTACATATACAGCGGTTTGCAAACAACTAATACAAACTTTTTTTTTTGTATTCTTAAGACCTTTTTCTATCATGCCAAAGAGCTGTAAGCGTCATATCTGTAAGCCTGATTCATCGATAGTTATGCTAGATAACGACAATAGAGAACTAGGATTTTTCTTATTTGCTTAATATATTAATACGATTATAATAACTTCTTGAACAAAAAGTTTATCATATATCAATTTTATACTGTTGAAACAAAGGTGAAAGATCTAGCGATCTTACTTCTTATAAAACTGATGTTTTATTAAAGACTATCTATTGTGATAGTAACAGATTAATAGAAATTGTTGTTGGTCAGAGCGTTCAAACGAAGAATTAATATATTTACTTGTAAAGGCTAGAAATGTGAGTCTAGGTGCAGATGAAGAGGATTTCACATTAACACCAACGCTGTTGAATTAGAAATTGTCTTTTGTAAATTTACTTTAAGATGAATCTTTCAATTGAAGATTGATGTTAAGAATGAGTTTATTAGAGGTTCAGAAATCGACGATAGAGTGATATCTCAGAATTTGCTGATTCTTTGATATATTGTAGAAAGTTCTGAAGAGAAACCCTCAAATACAGATGGGTTTTTCTGATTCTAAGTTTTTTACTTATGTTTTGAAAAACGTATAATTTTTCCTAATAAATCGACTTTTTTATTTCAAATTCACAGAATTTCGACTGCTGGTTTGTTTTGGGCATGATTACTTATTAAGTGTACTATGGAGAACAAAAAATTCTGAAGTTTTTATCAAACACTTGCATAGTATCGTCTTGTATAAGAACAGATGCATCTGTATGTTTTTCTAAATTTTTGCTACGAAAGTGATCAACATGTCGATCGACCGCGTTCAATGCTGCAACACAACAGGGTGCTCTAAAATTTTTACCATAGATAGAACTCATTAAATTCTACCACCTATGATGATCAAATTTTCATTCTCGAATCCAAAACAGACCTTTTAGCGATCGATTCACGTTTCTAGCAATCGAAAGCACAATTATCCGAGAGTAACATACATTGATTTTAAAAGAAAAGTTCATCATCGACTGATATGTATACTATTTCATGCAGCGTCATATACCGAGTATCATCTGAAATTTTCAGATTGATGCCTCAAATACAAGAGCTAAAATCTTCAAGATACTAAAAGTGTGAGACCTTAACTTTCATACTCATGTGATATAGTGACTGGTATAGTGTCAACAGTTACCATAGTACTTCGAATGTGAACTGATGCTAATAATAGATGACGTCGTTACCATCACACAAATCGAGAAAGCCCATACGATTAATCACAATTTTGTCTCTCTATGAATTGAGGCATATCAATACCTAAATTTTAGCTGTGCTTCTTGACATTTCCGTCGAAAGGTCATAATGAGACTAGTGGTTGAGAAATAGCGCCTCTTTTATCTCGAAACATACCACATTTCCCTCTACTATGAAAAATACATTCGAAGAAGTTTGTGCAGCATGTCAAGCAAAATATTTCTGAAAACGAAAATCAGTGGCTATTATTTTTTCTTACAGCAATTCAGATAAGTTTGATGCTTCCCACAAAAAAGTTTAACAATGGATACTCTGAGTACTCGTGTCTCAGCAGTAGTAAACGGTATCGCCACGAGTCACTACTCTAAAGTTTTGTCTTTGTGAACAGAGGGTGTAGGTGGGTGTGGGTGTGGGTGTGGGTGTGTGTGGGTGTGTGTGGGTGTGTGTGAGTGTGGGTGTGTGTGGGTGTGTGGGGTGTGGGTGTAGGTGGGGTATCTGTTTATTCACAACCACACCCACACCCACACCCACACCCACACCCACACCCACACCCACACCCACACCCACACCCTCATAGTTTTCAATCTTCTGGAATTCATTAAAATGCTAAAATTAATAACAATAAACAGACTGCAAGTTTAACATTCATAATCCCTGTAGATTTCTCTTAAACTTCAATTTCAATTAGTATTGATGAAATTTTGCAAAACTCTAAAGTTACACAAGAAAAAAATTTCAAACTACCATAATTAATAAGAATTGAATTTTAAAATGCGAAAATTAGATTACTCTCTGCCATTAGCGGCTTGTAATAACTAAGGCTAATCAGAATAAAAACATTCATCCTTTTTTTATACATCACATGTAATATCCATATTGTCATTAGATATAGCAGCTCATACATAAACAGTGTCATTTGATTGATTTCTACATAAATTGACACAGATATTGCCAAAACCTTTTGATTTAAAAGAAAATTATCCTGTTTTACTTTTAGATTTTGCTAATAGCATTTCATTTATATGTTTTTTTTTTATGTCTACATTTGTTTATTACATTTGAATAAATTTTTTTGGAATATATAATTTCTCTTTTCCCCCAAACTAATATTGAGATTCCCATCTCCCTTAATTCATAATAATAAATTTCATAAATCTAATATTTGTAAGATAATCTCTCGTTTTTTCTATCTTTTTTCAAGAATATAAATCATTTTTCCATGTCTTGATGTATGTTGAATATGTGAATTAAATAAAATATTTTTCACAAAAAACCATTGATCTTCTGCCAATACATCTTTTAATTGATTATATAATAAATCAAACATAACTAAATGACTAGAATTATAATTATTTAATCGTTTTTTTAATGATTCAATTGGTTGTTAAAAAAATTGATCAGCTTCATCAATATAATTATTTGTTATATCATCTAAATTTGGTTCACATGTTAAAAAATTTAATTGAATATCATTTTGATGAATAAAATTATAATATGGTGTTGAATGACATGGCATAAGAAAATCAATTGAAAAATTTTGATTATTATTATTATTATTATTAATTAAATTTTTTCGTAAATAATACATAACTGATATTTGTCCTTGACGATCAATTAATGAAAAATAAAATCCAATAAATAAATGTCCAATAAATAAAAGAAATATAATCCATCGAAATTTATTCCATTTAAATTTTTTTTAAAACCAATCAATTCCATGTGCTTCTAATATAAATAATATTTGTAAAATTTGTTTTAAAAATCGAAATTCTTTATGTTTATTTAATGTATAAATTAATATTGTAAATAAAATTATTATTGTTAAACGTTTATTTGATATAGAATCAAAAAAAAATAAATGGTAAACGATAAAAATATATCATTGGAAGACCATTTGTTAAATACCATAGAATATTATTTATACCATAATGTGATGATATTGAATTTGGATGAAAAAAATTTATATATAAAATATTTAATGGTACAAATGTCCAATGATTATACATATAACTATCTAAGAATATATTAAATATATTTAATAGAATAAAACATATAAATGCTTGAAAAAAAATTTTAAACTATTCGAAGTTTTATATAATAAATATGGATAAATAATAACAAATGGAATAGCTGATGTTGGACGAATAATAAATGATAATGAAACAAATAAATGAAAGGCAATGTTAGATGATGATCGATGACTATGTAGACAATAAAAAAAACACAAACATATTAATTGAAATTCTTAAGTACACTTTTCATAGCAAAATTTGTAGAATATATATCAATAAAATTTGAAAGATATAGACAGCACTCACAGGATGAAATCGTAGAGGACATATCAACAGCCCTAGTCCATCTAAGCGAATTTTGCTACTAATGAACCTCTCCTTATTCTGAACAGTGGGTGCTTAGTTCTAGTCTCATGAAGCAATAACAATCTCTCTAATGTGAGCAACATATGTTCTATTATTCACGTGAAGAATGAAAGAAAAAATTATGTTATGTGTATGCATTTTGATTAACAATCATAGGACGTCTAGGAAAAGGGGATTGACTAGCCTTGGATATTTTAAAGAAAAAAAAATAGACAACAGCAACAGTACTTGATTTAACATCTCGTCTTTTTGTATTAATAACCAATAACATGAAATCATGTCAACACGTGTTGATTTACTTCTGATTAAAAAAGTTGAATTAATTCATTGTTGTAAAAAATGAAAAGATCGCCTTGCGCAGCCGAAAAGCAATTGCAACTGATTACTTATAGGTGGCAAAAAAGAAACTAAAAACCTTCCTTAAATGAGCATTTTTGGTCGGTACCGGAAATTATTTCATATATTCAATCGAAAATTCTGCTCATGTTATCACATAAATCAAAATTTCGTAGAAAGAAAATTATTACAAAATTGTATTAATATTAAAATCAATAATACTACCTTTGAATATTTATTCAATTTATAAGATATCTAATTAGTACAAAATGTGTGTGATGACCTTTTTTTTGTAAAAATTTCTACAACTTTTGATTCGATTGAAAGAATTTTACATATTTATGTTTATATTTTTACACATATTATCAAAATACGATTTTAAAATTGATAAATACTACTACAATCGATAATAAATTCTCTTAATTTTTAGCAGCAGCAAGACTACATATAAAAAGTATTTCTTCTAAATTATTAATAATTAATCTTGGTGATGAATACATTGTATACCAACATGTAAATCGACATAAAAGAATCAAAAAAATTAATTTATGACCTTGAAGAAATTTTAAATAAACTAAATCACCAATAATAACCAATAATGTTTGAAATAATGTTACTGAATTAACTAATATTGATACAGTATCAAGATGAAATAGAGTTAAAAATCGATAGATTAATAAAATAATAAATGGATAAAGATAACTTCTTATAGGAATATTTGATTTCCATTCCCATGTTTTATAACCATAACCAAAGGCAAGTAAATGTGCTATTTCAAATGTTTGCCAATATTCATCAGCAATAAAATATGTTCGTATAATAAACCAAGAAATTAAACGAAATATAATAATACTAATTAATTATAATTTTTTGTATTTTTATTTAATAACATCTGCAAAATTGAAATTGATTTTTAATTATAAATTTTATTAGTTATAAGAGAAAAAGTTTTTTTTTCCTCCTATTGAAAAATTAAATGAGAGATTTTCTTATGTGTTCTCTTGAATCATATGAACAGAATTAAGAAAACAAAATACTTAGATTTCATATAGATAGTCAATCATCTGACAAAAACAAATAATAATAATCAAAGTATACTAAAGAGAAAAATTATGTTTTAGCTACTTATAATGAATCAGCACGAATTCTAGAAAAATCAATATTTTTATTAAGTTCTGCATCAATTTCACCTATTAATGCAACATTATCACCATGTATTATACAAAGATCAAGAAGAATTTGTTCTACATCATCTGTTGCAGAAAATACACGTTCATGACTATCATCTCATATTATATTTATAGCTTCATCAAAACCACGTAATATTCCAATTATAATTCGTTCATCGTATGTAATTATATTTACTGATTTATTCATATAGGCATCAAGTACTTAAGCCATTTTTTTGTACTAGTTCTATCGCTAAATATATTCACTCTAAAATTATACAGAATCTATATAATATAGAATAAAATACAGTTGTGTTGTAAAAAACTAAATAAATTTATCCAATTCGTTGTCATATCTATGAATCAAATGAATAGATAATTGTCATTTGGTATAGAATACGATTAACCAATAATAACAAGTCTTTCAATATAAATATCGTAAAAGAAAAAAAATTAAAGACCAACTTTGCATTTTTCAGTTCGGACTTTCAAAGATCGTATGAATATGATACAATAGTTAGTTTACCGAAAGAAATCGCTAGAAAATTGTATCTGCTTTCGTATAGTTATATGCATTAAGGTTAACATCATCCTGAACGCAAGTGTTCAGAGAATTATGAAAAAATCCAAAACTTCTCTAGATTATTGAGGATTACTTGGGCTCTAATAGTAAATAGAGTATGGGAGGTTTGTAAAACCTTGTACTATCTTCAAAAAGCTTCTGAATATTTCCATACATCCTCATTGCAGTGCTCGATTTTTTGCACGAACTTAAACATTTTTCATTACAACTAGTCATGTACTCAAACCGTTCGGGTCGTTTTTGCCTAAATAACAAAAATGCTCTTACTACTGAACTACGTTGGCCCAACATTTTCCCGTCGATAGGAAATTGAACTAGGGAAACAATGAGTTTGGGTCTGAACTATTTTTCAGTTTTGTTTGGTTATCAAAAACAGACGTCCTTCTATATTTTTAGTGTGGCAGTTTATTGATATAGTTCATTGATCAATGAGATAATTTGAAATATTCAAATTCTGTTCGTAGATTTAAGTGCATGCCTAATTACAACTGATATTTTTATCATTATCTCATTATTTCTTGTATCTTAGAGATTTGAATATACACCAATTATATTGAGAAAATCTTATTATAATCTTTGTTCTCGACCATCAGTTTGCCGCACTGTTTAACCTTTTTGTTACACACTAATTGAAATTAAATCAAGACAGCCCATGTGCCTATAACTGCTTATTGTCTTCATGATTATAATATATTCATACATATCCAGGTGTTCATTATTTTGCATCTATTTTGTGAATCATACCATTAATTTAATAATTTGATAAACAGTATGCATCGTGAGATAAATATGAGCTACGATATGGATACTCAAAAGTATGAATATCATGCAAAGAGCATTAAGCAAAACAACTGATAGTCAAACATATCATCATTAGTTTTGATATAATTTTAAATATATACTAACTCCTAACGATTCTCTATCATTTACCATCGAATTAACAAATATATCAAAGATTATTGTTAGATTGAATGTATGAATTACATCCACTACAAGTTCCTTCATTACTCAATTAAGTAACGTTTTTTGTTAAATTGATTACAAATCTATTTATTTGGATACATTTTTTTTTCGTCTGCTATGATCTGGAACAAATAATGGAATGAATATTTCGATGAAAATTATACAACTAAATTAAACGCATCTTGTTGTTAAAGAGATTAGTAAAAATTATATTAAAAATAAAGGAACATTTAGACAAACGAAAAACAAACAAACAATCACTGTTGTTGTATTTGCTGTTGATGACTAGCAATTATTGTTGCATGTTCTCTTTTAAGACGTTCTATTAAATGAGCTTGTTCAGGTCTTCGAATTCCTTTCATATCAAGTATTTTTTGAAAAGAACTTATATCTCCATCATTATTCATTAATTGTAAATAACTTTTAACAAATTGTCTAGCAAAATCATTTGGTGTTAGAACGACTTTTAAGATCATTTCAGCACGTGTCATATTTTTTAGAATAATTTTTGTAAAACTAAAAAAAAAAAGTGCGAAGAGAAAACACATTAAAGTTAAAATAATAAATTTACTTTTGTGGTGGTTTTCGTGAAACAGTTAAATTAATCGATGGTAAATCAAGAAGAACTGTTTTTAATGAATGTGTATCAAGTAAAACTTGTTCAGCACCAATGATATTTATTGGTTTACAACGATATAAATGATTAATAAACTTTTTAATAAACGAACTAAAAAAAATTCTTTCATACATATATTTAAAAGATATTCAAATTCGAAACTAACTCAACAAATGTTGTACAAAATTGTATAAAATATTTTCTTGACAATCCCAAATGATTACGTATAGCAGGAGCAATTGTTTTTAAATGATTAATAATTGTTGTTACATATAATGATTGATCACCAACCGTTTCAATAGTTTGCCATGATAACTATAAAAAATTATACAAAAAATAATTTATTATCCGTTATGAAAAACATCTTTAAAGATAAGAAACTATGCCAAGCTAAACATTGTAGTCTAATCAAAAGATAACTTCATTATCAAATCCAAAATCTTCGACGGCCTACTAAAGTTCTACTTTTCTCATATGAACTAGTGAATACTAAACCTAAAAATCTAGCTGATAGTTCAGTTTAGACGATATAACCTATGTGTAAAAAGTCTTGGTACAAATTTCTTTGACCATTTTCTGCGTTCTGATTGGATATATATATGTTTGTATTTTATAGGATATTGTAGCTTATTCTCCGTACTTTCATTCCATATACAAATGCTTCATGTTAGATTATTCGCTTGAGAAAGAAAGATTTTGTAAATAATACCCTTAAAATTTGGTTTGAACAAGCCAGCAGAAAAAAATGTAAAAATATGTGTAGTATGATTGCTTCTTTGGTTGATTTCTCCTTCCAATTAAAATCTTTCCTAGACTTATTATATATTAGTTTGTGCATCTCTCTCAGCTTTGTCATTTCATATAAAAGGATCTGACAACTAATAGTTGTAAAGCGCAGGAAAGTTTTTCGAATGTCATTTTTCAAAAAGAGAGTTTTAGCTGTAAAGAAAATTTCAACAGTGGTCGTGCTCTAAAGAGTCTTAATATTTATTCCAGAGTGACTGGTGTTGAAGTGCATCCTCCAAGCTTCTCAGCTATATATAATATGCAAGCATAAAGAATATTCGAGAAAAAATGTACTTTGTTTCACGAGTAGAAGTTAGTTGTCAAATATTCAGATAATGTAGACCGTATCATTTAGCTTTAATACTGTTTGCCTTAGGAAACATAGTAAGTTTTGCCTCTTGATGGCCATAGGTTGTTATGTATGGGTGCTTGTATTTATCATTTAAATGGATTCTATCCTGTAGGTTTCTAAAAAGTTCTGTTGCTACTTTCCTTGTACAAACAGTTTTTTAAGACCATCTCCCGTAAAGCTTCTGCGTTCAAATCAAATCATCTCAAACACAACATTTATACACATAATGAATACACAGATAAGAGCCTATAACCTTGCATAAAAATTGATAGAAAACATCTAAGCAGGACGGAGAGAATAAAGAAAACATTTTGTGCCAAGACTTTTTACACATAGGTTACGTTACAACTAGGATTCTCGATTAAAGGAAGGGACTTCCCTTTCCCTCCAAAATGTACAACTTCTGCCAATTTTTTATAGTTTCCTGGCAAATTTGGACTGAAACTGGATTTTGAAACACCGTATACCTTTCTCTGGTAGAATGTGAAATAAAATTAAGCAGACGATGTCGTTGCAAGGTGGGATGGCTTAGTGGCAAGCCGAGTCACGATGGGTTTTGTTCTTCTTCTGTCTCCCGATCACCACTTTTCGCACTCTGAGAATGAAAGCGCTTTGTGCCAAATTTTCAACCTTTCGCATCTCAAAAAAATATCGACAATCCTGATTACAACGATAAAATATGTAGAGTGTCATAATGATATGATGCACGCATTGAATACATCTTCGTTCAATGATCTGAACTGTGAACTGACAGCTGGTCGATTCCTAATGTTGTGTTCATTAGTTGTTTTATTTTTTGTCTGCTGTTGTCATATCGATAATTGTTCTTTCTGCTGATAATCCTTATATTCTGATTTGCCATTGAATTTTACAAAAATTCTATTTGTATTCACATCCTTATATGAAATATGAATTTCTATCATATTATACGAAATTTGACATAAAATTCTCTTTAGTATAACTCAAACTAACCTTAGTCATTGCTGTTAATGCTGATTCACAAGCATTTTCAAGATCTTGAATAAGTATTTGAATAGATTCAGCAATAATTCTATATATAAAAAAAAAATATGAAAATAAATTTATAATTTTACTCTTTGTAAAATAAACATACGCTTTAAAAATATTTCTTTCTGATTCAAATGAAATTTTATCAACTAATGATTTGGTTATTTTTTCTTTCCTTTTATCTTTTAACTAAAATCAAAACAAAAGAATATTTATTTAGTTGTTTTGTTCTTTTTCTTTTTTAAATTCATATTATTTTCTCTGTTACTTGTTGTATTGTTTCAACACAATATTCAGCCGTACATAGAACACTACATGATCAACATATCTCTGATTCATTTAATTTAGCTATTGTTTCACCTTCTTTTAACATTGATGGAATATTTGGTAAATTTTGTATAAATATTCTTGTCGTACCAACTAAAGATGATGCTGTTGTATTTGTTCTCTTTTTTTAAAAAGAAAAGAAAACAAAATGAATTTTTGACACAAAAAAAAAATTTTTACTTTGGTAAATTAGCTGTTAATATTCGATTAGCATATTCTCGAAGATATTTTTGAAATGTTTGAACAAGTAATAATAATGATTGTCCAGTACTTAATTTTGAACATTGTACAAGACAATTACGAAAATAAACAAATAAATCTGCACTTGTTGGTACAACATTGCTTGTATCTTCACTACCTTCAAATTTAGGATAACCATCTTTTTTAAGTTCATCAACAAATTTTTGAATTTGATCATCCAAACACCTATGAACAGAGAATTATATGTAGATAAGAGAGAGAGAGAGAAAATAAAAGCATCATGAATAAACTTTTTATTTACCGATCTAATTCAGCTATGTAAATATCTAGATGATCTTCGAAACATTGAGATATTATTCCTTGAAATGGTGATGATTTTGGTTTAAGATTTGTTGTTAAATTTAAATCATCATTTCCATTAGTATTTGTTACTTTAACTATAAAAACAAATATTTATATTGCATAGTCTTGAATCAATAATAAACGATACATCAGTTTGTTTTTTTTCTTTCAATAGGATTTCATATAGAATATGAATTAGATCTAATTATCACCAATATTCAAAATGAATGTTGGCATAACATAAAGTGAAAACTAAATAAATCTTCTGTTGAAAGAAGAAAGATAAAACTCTTAATAATCGATACATCATCGAAGAAAACTTCTCTTTCGGCTGTGAAAAAAAAAGAACGTTCACGTAATGTGAACAAGATTCTCTTACTAATTTCAATACTTTCACAATTAATGCATTCTTTTACTAACAATCAGAAGTTTATAATGATCGATATAGAATCCAATCATTTGCTTCATTCATACAATTATATACGAGACAATTTTTTTGTGTTCTAGTTAAGTATCACTATATCCTCAAGCTAATAGGTAATGCAGAGTAAATAGATCATATTTTGTTGACTTAGGTTTCCGACACTTTTAAGAAACTTTGAAAAGTCGTTCTAGGCTTATTCAATGGAGAACTGAAAGCTCTACAAAACTATTGATTTTGCTTATTAACTACTTGTTTTGTTCTCATTAGAAAACTCATAGTAAAGTATTTGACATGGATCAATATAGAATTTTGTGCTCTATGCTTCCTCACTCTTTTCAAATTTTTTTTTCTTCTATAGTTTTGGAGAAATACGCTTCTAGCGAACAGACGGTAGTGTTTTTGGAAAAATTGACTTTTCTAGAACAAAAATTTAGGTCTGCAAAGTTTATTGCAGAACTAAATCGTGAAAATTGTAAGTTTTTACAGTCTCAAATACAAAAGTGATCCGTTTATTCTATGCCAACAGTATAAATTTAAGATCTAATCATTATTATTTGTATAAATTAATTCAAAAAACTCAGTATGTATCGTATATTTTGTTAGAAATATCGACATAATATTTACCATTAAGATGACTAGTTATTGGATTATTTGCATGATCAAGTGTATTTCCCTGAAAACGTTTTTCAACAATGATTTCAAATCCAACAGTTTTTTCAATAGCAAATCGTAATAATTTAACATCAATTTCATTTTTACGTTTGAGCATTATATTTGCTAATTCACGTCTAAAATCAAAAAAAAAACAAGTTTTTAGTTATATTTTAAAACATAAAAATAAAGACCAAATTAACCTTGTTATTTTACAAAATTCAACTGTTAAACGTTCAGCCATTTCTCAATGAACAGGAAATATCCGTGAATATTTTTCATCATATTAAACAAGTGCACGTTTTAACCATGCATATCGACGATCAATTTTATCTAACCATGCGCTAACTAAAACAAAAAAGAAATAAAACAATTATTTCATTTTATTTTTTATAATTACTTCTTGAGATTCTTGATATAATATTGTATATTCAGATAGATGTGTTTTTAAAAACCAATTTATCACTTCTAATCTAAAGAGAACAAAACAAAAAAAAATAGTGAATGCTAACAATCAAATATTTAAATAACAAACCTTAATTTAGGATCAATAACATCAATTATTTTACATACATCTGAAAAATGTTGATTTGAAGTAAAATTCTATAAAAAAAAATAAAAAAGTTAATTGACTGAAAAAAAAAATCTTGAATAACTAACTCTCGCATTTGGACCATTAAATGCATCTTCACATTCTTTTCGAAGTTGTACAGTTATTTGAGCAGTTAATTCTTTAACACTAAATAAAATAAATTTTTTTTTTGTATAAAGAGATTTACTAGGTGATAGTATTTTTGATCAGCAACTTTTTTCAGCATTCATTTCACATTATTATTTGTCAATAAAATGTAGAGTCTGTTCTAGGTCGACGACAACCTCACCCTGACATTCTTTGCTGTCCTCACTCTCACTCTGTGGTGTTACGCACTGTCAATTACACTAATTAATATCTGCGCCAGAATTAAAGAGGGGTGGGGTAAGCTCAATAACTCGACAACGGCAACGGCCATTGGCTTGCGATTTTCAGAAATTCAAACATCTTTTTGTCTGATACTATATAAGATAACCCTATTTTAAAACCCAAATATTCAAAAAAAAAATGCATCAAAATGTAGTTTCATGTCAAAAACTTTCGATAAAAAGTCAAAATATTTGCTAGAAGTCAAAAAAAAATTCATATAATTTGACCGAATAGATAGGCGACTTCGTTTGTTCAACATTGAAATGTAAGAAGATAATCATCTGAACCGTGCCTTGAGCTATAGATCTGAAGTCTGTCTATCAGTAGCACATGTCCATATCAAAATTACATCGAAACAGAACATCATTTTTGTGAATCTTCTCAAAATATGATAGGTGTTAAAAATAATTTTGTCTTATATAGTATGAGACAAAAAGGCGTTCGCAGGTCTCTTATTTCTCTTGCTGAAAACCATAGACCATAGATCGCTAACTGCTGCCATTTTCGAGTTATTAAGGTTACACCGATCCCTTTTTAATTCTGACGCGAATATTAGTTAAGGATATCGTTGATCTGGATAAGAACCAATGTATCTTTTTTTGATGATCAAAAGTATCTAAAGTCAATTTATTTACTTTGCAGATAATTCTTGTATTTGTGGAATGTTCATATATGGTTGAAAATGTTCTAATACACTTATAACCGGATGAAGTAAATTTGCTATATCACCATAAGATTTCTTTTTTATAGCAATTCTAGAAAAAAAAATTCAAGAGAATAAAATTTGTTTTCTAGAAAACAAAAAATTCTTTTTTGTATTTACTCAATTTTATCAATTCCTTCAATTAACATTTGTAAATGGTTAAGTGTTGTTACTGAAGTTGTAAGATTCTTTTTTTGCTACATCAGGTTGTTCTATATCTCGTGTTATTTCTTTAACCTAAGAATTTGAAGAAATTTTGATTTACAAAATTTAATCAATAAATTTATTTTTACCATTTCTTCTGATTTATCAGCTTTATCTTTAATTTCACGCATTTATTGAAATAATAATAATATTGAATTTTGTGCTCCTTCTAATGCTTTATGTTCATCAATTTCTATATCGGAATGACCACGTATAGTAAAACGAATATCAGTATCCATATCCAATGAACGTATCTTTGACTTAACACTTGCAATAACCTCATCAATATGTGCTATTATAAGATTGATTTATCTAATTAAAATTCTTTAAGGCAGTGACGATCTTTGATTGAAAACACCAAAAAAAAATGTTGAATTTTATTATGGATAAAAATACTACGGTGATAGTTGTGCAAACAAATCTGCAATGGAAATATTCTAGACAATTTTTGCGTTATCGGATAAGAGTGAATGCGGATGCACAGTGTTAGTATAAATACTGAACAGTGAACCACCGACACAGGGTTTACTGATTACATTGACATCTATTTTCGTTGCAACATTCAGACATGAGCTCTATCAGATTACGCCTCTTTTTGTGGCGGTATGATTCTATGCTTCAGTAAACACCGGTGCCAGTGGAGCACTAACTACACTGAGAAATCAAACTTATCCTGTTTTATTTTTATGTTTACATACCTTTTAAAGCTATAAGGATATTTTGGTCATCTTCGTCCCTTTAATCCATTTGAGTGTGCGTGTAGTTGAAGAAACCATGCCCATACATCCACATCCAAAAGGACTAAAGGATGAAAAACATGAAAGTCATAGTCACTTGAAAAGCATTAAAGTAAAACGGGATAAATTTGACTTCTCGTGGATCCCTTGTTGAGTCAATAAACTGAGTTCATCCATCCTTAAGAATAAACATCTTCTAATAATGAAAAGTTTTCAATTCTACTAAACAAAAACCGAATAAATATTCTTTGCATTTCGTAAGTTCATTTTTTTCCGTTTCCGATTCCTGGATTAAACCTCTCTCGTGGGAATTTTCCTGTTGAACTCAAATGCCTGTACAGACTTTTCTTTACACAATAAAAGGAATACGACACTAAGAAAATAATAATCTCACTTGATCAATCACTTTTTGTACATCAGATGGTAGTACAAGTGTATCATATCGATCATCATCAGCATCAAATGAATCATCATCTACATCTACTCCATTAGTAGTAGTCATCTAAAAATTACAACAATGATAACCTTGGCTTTATTTTTATTTTTATATTTCAAAAGGAAAATAAATTTACTTTGAAAAAAAAAAAACTTTACTGGCACTTTTTTAAATTTCCAGATGAAAAAAAAAGAGTTTAAAATTCAAATAGCTATATTTATATGAGAAACATAAAAAAAAAAGAGATTAGCACATAAGTCACTTGGGTGCTTTATTTTTGGATAAAAATAGGAAATGAGAAAACACACACACACGCAAAAAAAACAATCAATTTTTAAATGTCGCTTTATTTTTATGTTTATGATCGAAAAAATTTTGCCATCCAATCTTTTATTGATGACAAAGGTTTATTCGAAAATGCATATTGAAAATGACAAACATATTCTTTATTTGATGAATGTATTTTTATTATTGGTAGTTGATGACGCATTTGTTCACGATCATGACTACGTTGAAATGTCCAACGCCATCGATTTTGATTAACTTTTTGTTCTCGTTCCTGTTCAGCACGATTCATTCGAGCTTGTTCACGATGTTGTGCATGTGATCGAATCCATGTAGCATATGTTGATTGTTCTTTAGAAAATGATGAAGAAAGATGTTCAACACAGCGACGTAATGCCATTTGAACTTGTTCAGCTGCTTGTGAATGAGAAATATCAGATCATTTTTGTTTACTTTGTTCCATATATTCATGTCCATGATTAACAAGATCACTGAGTGATTCACTTAAACGTTGAAATAAATCAAACAAATTTGTTGACGTATTTTCTACTATTGCAGTAGTTTGTTTGATTAAATTACTAAGTAACACATCCAAAGATAATGTAGATGATTTCGTACACTGGATTTGTAAAAAAAAAAAAAAAAAAACTTTTAGTGTTGATACAAGTATCTATTTAACATATTACTTACATCAACTCCTTCAGGACATGTTTCTTTTTCTATTGAACTTTGTTTTTCAATTAATTTTACGTGATGTTCTTAATGCAATAACTTGTTTTTGTAATCGTTCATTTTCATCTGATAACTATAAATAAAATTCGAATTAAAATTAAAATCTAATTTATTTCTTTTTTGTTTTTTACTTGATGAATCATATTTGTAAAATTTTCTTGTAAGATTTATTATTTGATAAAGTTCATTGATTTTTAAAATCGACGAATTGTTTTCATTATTATATTTAATCATTTTTCATTAATCAAAGAACAACAAAATGTATATGTATGTATATATATATATATTCATTTATTGATTAAGTTCTATAGATACAACAAAAACAACAAAAAAAGAAAACCAAAAAAAAAACTTTTCTATCATTCTGTCGTAAAAAGAGAAACGACAGAATAATGAACGTACATGTTTATTTTTTGTTCATAACTTTAATAGCCACATTCCAGAAGCCATCCCGTGTTTTTTTCAACACCAGATTTTCTTTTGGTGTCTTTCTTGTCAAACTTTTGAGTTCTTCGTAGGCGAGTAGTTTGGTATTCTTTTTTAAACGATCACGTGTACCAGCACCCACTTTTAAGCTTTTATTGAATATTAATGTACATTTGTAGCCTTTAATGCCATATTTATGTAAATTTATCTCGTGCTCTACTAAATCTATTTCACATTCTGAATCATTCGTGGTTGCTTTTGTTGAACTCGTCGTACGAAAATAAGATTTGATTGTTGTTGGATCTTCATGAGCTTCTTCTAATGTATCTTTTCGTGCACGAGCCTGCGTTCGTGCACATATACGATTAAGAAGACGTTGAGCTGCTTGACGTTGTTGTTCTCTATATGTATATATAATTAAAAAAAATTAAAACCAATAAATTTTGTGTAGAAATAGGATTCTTTTGTTTTTGCTCAAGTATATGAAATAATTCTAAATTGATTTATTGCATAGTTTTCAATCTAATATCCATCATTGAACAAAGACATTTGTTAATGATATATAGTTTTATATCTGTATGTTATATTGTTTGTCTTTTTCTCATATTTTATTCTTTTTTAATTCTAACAACCGAATTGAAAACAAAATATCTATAGAAATCATTCTCTTTCCACCTATTGCAACTATATAAAGTAAAATGGATTCTTCTAGCACAGATAATTTTTCCTATAATATGCAAGACAACAAGAACTATGTTCCAAAATATTCATCGAAATTACTCGATTAATTATATGATTATGAGGGAAGTTCGCTAATCGATTGCAGGCTTTTGATTCGAGACTATGTGTATCATTCAGTGTTTCATCTAGGTTTTATTTTTGAATGGGCAGCTGGTGTTTTAGGGTGGGCAACTAGAATTTTCTGAAAAACTACTGGCTAAAAATTTTTTGCGATATAGCGAAGGTACGCAGAGACCCTTTTTGATTCTTTTTCAAAACACAATTACACTTTTCGTCTATTAGTAATGAAATGTGAAAAAACTTCGAAATAAAACAAAATGCTGTGACAATCAACCAATAGATCAAAATCCGAATTTTTTTGTAGCGTTTCATTTTCCCGATAACCAACAATTAGATCCTTTGGATGATTATGTAAATCATATAGTCCTCTTATTCGTATTCTGGTGTGGTATTTAAGTCTCAGAAGAAAAAATCTTGATAAAATGATTTCAAAAAATAAACTCTCGAAGGAATGAAAAATTATAAACAATTGAAATCACGAAAAGCCAGTATTAAGAAATGAAAAATCTTGAAAAAGCAATCGCTAAAAGAAAAAAAAATGAAAAGAAAAATATCATATACAGAAATTTCGAACAGCTAGGATTATATGATTAATAAAAGATCTATAAATATACGCACAATGATACTTATGCCTGGTGAATCTGATCCTCTCTGATGTAAATGTAGTTGTGACCGAAAGTAAGAATGAAGTGAGGTGGTAAGTTAGAAACTATCTGTCGTCTTTCTGAACTCTCATCTGCTGTTCTATATGCAAACTTCAACTACGTATCTCTCATATGCCCGATTAATAGCATATGGTATGGTTATTATTATAAGAAAGGATGTAAAAGTAGTTTAGATCTTATTTAAGAAATCTATAAGAATAAAAAACGAAGTGAAGAAGTCATGCGAAGAATAACAAGAAAAAATCATTTTTGAGAATTTTCAGTTCTATTAAATTATTTTTATGTTTTATACTGTGAAATTTTACCTTTTCGTGATTTGATTTTTTGNTGGTTATCCTTTGTTCTTTTGTTTCGTTTTGTTCTGTTATTGTAGTATATATAGGAATGTAGTTTTGTTTTCTTGTCATTGTTTCCTGATGATGGTGAACGTTATCACCGAAAGCTCGAATCAATAAATAAATATTTGAATTTTGAATAATTCTTAAAATGTATTTCATAGCAGTGCTTTACTCAATTATCTCTCATATCATCAGCAATCATTGGTGTTTTTAATCGATGATAGTGTTTTAGTATTTCACATGTTGTGTTTCTAGTGCTTTTGCTCAAGCAGACAAGAATTTCTGAAAATGCACTTCGACGCTCTAATCGTAGTTTTCTGTTAGAGTATTTTTAAACTCTCACTCAGAAAACACCAAAACCAGATACTTTCACCGTAAAATGGTACATGAAGGCACTGAAAAAGAAGCAACTGCTTCATCTGCAATATTTTGATGCATTTTACATATAAAAATGACTTTTATATACATGGTGTATGTCAAAAACATTGTTAGAAAACTTTTTGAGCGTCTTCATGTATTTTTTTATGATGAAAAAAACTGGTTTTAGTTTTTTTTTCTGAATGAACATTAAAACACTCTAATGGAAACTGCAATAAAGGCGTTTAAACGCATTTTTAGAAGTTCTTATCTTCTCTGGTAGAGTGTATTTCTTGAAATGAACTTGCAGATAAAAACAAAAATAGCTAAGTATCTTTACATTCGATGATTCAACGACGCCATCTTTTTCGTTTATAGTATTTATAAGATGCTATTCTATAACAAAAAAATTCGAATAGAGTAGGTCTAGTCAACATGTAAGGACAGTATTTATTGACATATTTAACAACGTAGTTACATATTGATTGTTTGCTTAATGACATACTTGTAATTATCTTCATCGAGTTAATATATATACATAGATAAGTACATATAGAATAAAATAAAAACTTGACATTGTGCACTTTTATCGCAGCATAAATTATAAATTTTATTGAAAAGGTTTCAATAATAGATAGATAAAGTACACGAGATCTTTCTTATCATACTTTGGCTTTTACAATCCAATAATAACGATATATAAAAAGGCAACCGTATTCAACTTATTTAACATAAACGACATCGATTTAAATCAAGTAATTTATTTCCTTATATCAGTTTTTTAGCAGTTAAATTATCAAGAAGAAAAAGACCATCGACGAATACTTTCTCAATAAAATAAAGGTTTGTACGGCATACATATTTACGAATAAGAAAGCAAAGCAATACTTCTTCTCCTTTTTTTGTATTTATTATCAATTGAAGTAAGGGCAGAAAGTTGATCACTCTTATTTCGTTGTTTTTTGTTGTTCGTTCTTTCAAAACAAAAAATAAATCAGCCTTAGATATCTAATGTAAGTTTAGGCAACAAAAGTAAAACATAGTTAAAAGCCCGTCATAATATAATAATCTCATAATTAATAATTGAATATTTCTGCAAAAGAGATTATTCGACAAATCGAAAAGAAAAGAAAATTTCGAAAGAATAATGTAAATAGATTGTGTCATATAGAGTTATAAAACAATTGAAAATGATTGACTTGTTTCAAAAACTTAAATACATGCAGCTTGAAAGTAATAAAACTATATGCATTTTCATACTGATATGAAATTCATTTTGATAATCGAATCTTCTGTACCATCAGTTAACAAAATTAACATTAGTCGAGTCTAATTATCATTCTCATCGTCAAACTAACAAATTCCAAATATGAGCTATCCCTTCTAAACTTAAACTGAGATGTTTAGTTTTTGTGTTATTCAGTTTTGATATAGAAACATAATAATTCAAGACCTATTGGTATCCATTTTCGAATACAATCGCTAGGACTGTACAGAAAGTAAATTTCTATAATAATATTGACGTTTATAGACCACATTAAAACTTCACGAAATTTAGCTTCTGCTAAAAGTTTATTAGTATCGAGATAGAAAAAAACTTGACTATCATTTCCCAAGACCTAGAAGTTATGAGTATTTTCGATGCTACTTGAACTGACAGCAATCGATTGATTTAAAATAATATCTCAATAGATTTACTTTCAACAAAGATGAAATTCTTCAAACAAATGATAATAACAACGATGTGTTTTTTTGTATTCAATATTAAAAACTAAAAAGCTAGATCATAAAATAGTATTTCGGTGCCCATTAATTTTAAACAACTTATGTATGAACCATTTTTTCGATACAAGTAATCGTTTAGAAAGAGTTGAATCTAATTAGCATGGTTCTCATGCGATCTACAAATTACAGCTAGATTATAGAAATTTACTCTCTGAAAAATCTGATGATTGTATACAAAACTAAATCAGAATAAGTCTCAATTGTAGCTTACAGTGTAAAAGTTCCCCTTGTTAAAAAACATTCTTACGCAAGCAGATAAGAATCTCTGAGAGTGCACTTAAGCGTCCTAATCGCAATTCTCGTGTCAGCATTTTAATGCCCATTCAGGAAATAATAGAACGAGCTACTTTCACAATAAAAAAAAGGCATGAAGACGTTCAAAAAGTGTTGTACCAATACTTTTGGACACATACCACGCATTAAAAATATCATTTATAGAAGCAAAATACGTCAGGTTATTGCAGAAAAAAATTTGTTGCATGCTTTCCATATGAAAAAGTTACTTTTTCAGGATGAAAGTATCTTGTTTTAGTGTTTTCTGAATGTGTATTTAAAAACGTTGAAGCAGGGAGCTGAGATTATGGTGTTTAAACATATGTTCAGACATTTTTGTTTGTTTGAGTATTGTTCACTAAAAAAAAAGATTTTGATCTTGATCTAATCTTATATGCTAATCTATTTGATTAGCGTTGCAGAAAAGCACCTGAGGACATCATTAAAACTTGAAAAATTTCACTGGACAATTTAGATAAATTGTGCTTAAAATACCGAAAAATACTGGCATGATTGCTTTACTCTCTCTTTCTCTTGCGTCTGTCTAGCGTTAAACAAAAATAATTTTTTTTATAAAGGTGTTTAGTATAAGATACACCTAATTACCTCTACACAATAAAAGAAACAAGTATTTTATTTATTATATGACTAATCTAATGTAATACTCACTATTAAATTTTAATAGCTGCTTGAATAACTTACAAGTTTTTATGAGTGAATGATTGTTCTACGATGATTATTACCGTCGGTGCCCACAATCCCTTTGAAAATATCGTCTTCGAATCAATACTAAGTTAACAATTCCCTGTCTCGCCAAACTGACTTCTTCATACGATTCATCATTTCCCTCTACTGGGAATCTTATTTCAACTATTGGATCTGATAAAATCATCCCTAATGATAAACGACGTACATTGTTCTTTATATGTGAACCAATTGTAGTTGGCTTTTTTATTTTCCCATTATTAGTTATTTTTTGGCAGTCAGGTTGGAATTTTATGGTTGAATGGCTTAATACTCCTTTAGGTCAACAACGAGCTACATTACCTTCATTATATTTATTCTCTCAATTAATTCTTTTTATTATTTATATAAATCAAGATTGTTTTTATAATTATCTTGTTAAAGAAGAATTCAAATTTTTTGCTATTATATTTTTACAATGCCATACATTAATTACTGCTTTAAATTATATTATCCAATGGGCATCAATGTGGACATTATGGGATTATTATGCATCTGATGATTGGCGTCTTATGCTTATAGTTAGTATAGCTTCAATATTAGCTATAATTACTTTAACGGGACATTCATATGATCTTGTTTGTTCACCATTTATAATGAGTTATGATTCGATTCAATATAACGTACGAATTGAAACATCATTTGTAACAGAAAAAGTAATTTATTATTATATTTTTTTAACAAACAAACAGACATAGTTTATTATTTTATTTCAGATGAGTCCTTTTCTTTTACATATATTAAATTATATTTTTAATGAATATATTATATCATTATTATCTATTTTAGTATGGCATGGTTCATATACATTACTTGATGTTTTTTTATATCCAAATAATGAGAATATGTCAGCTGCTATAAGTCTTCTTATCGGCTATGTATTATTTTTTATTCTTATGTATACACAATCTTTTCAAAATAATATTGGTTTATTATCAACATTTATCCATTTAAATTTTCCATCATTTATACAAAATCTTCGTCATCTATGTGCTTTTTTTTCATGTGTATTTTTATGGCGAGGTTATTGGATTTTATTTGATGCACATATTGCAACAATATCATTCGTACATGAATCACCTTATACATCTTATGTCATTGGTATAATAATATCATTTATTATTTTAAGTATAATGAAAATAGCCTCTTCTATTAATGGTCCTATGTCACATATTAATGATGATGAATATAATCTTTTTCCTCTATATTCAAATTGTTTTTTAGTCAAATGGTTTAATCGAAAGAAAAATCCAAATGAACTGTCTTCAGGTTTGAGTAAAATTACAAATGTTGAACCATTTATAATTGTATCTTTCTAGTAATATCAATAAATATTATTTGTTTTTCTTGCTTTTTATTGATTTACATAAACATATTTATCAGATTGTTGTCTTTTGTATATATTTAACTTTATGCTTGGTGTTGTTGCTTTCTGCAGCAATACATGTGACTGTTTTCTAAATAACTTTTCAATGAAGAGAAAAGAACGAATGGCGATTTTCATCACTAAAAAATGAAGGCTTGAGGATATCAAATTATGTTAAATATGATCATTTTAAAGTCAGTTGATAGAATGGAAATTTGGTTAAAAGTCTCGAGAATGATGTTTTGAAAGACTTTTCTATTGTATTTTGATTTTACTCACTCTTATTGTAAATGGAAACTCAGAATATGTAGATCTACGTAAAGAAGAGATTCTTAGGATGCATCCTTCAAAAGTTATTTAGGCTTTTGAGAAATTCTATTTTTCGAATAATTTATCTTGAGTGATTTCAAAACAAGTTGAATTGTGTAATGTAATCTGTCTCAGTGGCAATGTCAAATACAGTTGCTAAATCAACATTTTGAAAATATGTGTTCTAGAAGATAATTATATAGCTACAAGAATTACATTTTTGAAAATTTAAATTGAATGGTTTTAAATAAAACTCAAACTGAAAGCAAACATCAGCATATGACTAACTCTTATTCATTATCACTGCCTTGATCTGTTTTGAAGTCGTTCAAGATGAACCGATTGAAATCCAGATTTTCGGTAGAAAATCGTTATAAACCTTTCATGGTATAATCTAAAAATATCGGCTTTACATAGATCTATAGATTCACAGTTTCTTTTTCAAATTGGATTAAGTACAGCTTGTTCTCTACTTCTTATAAAAAGTTATTCAACTAGATAACATTCGAGTTTCACTCGACTTCAAAATGCTATGTGAAGCTTGCACATGTCGATTGGTGAATGAATCGATATTTTCGAAAAAAAAAGAATAACTGTTTGAACGCTTGAAAATGAAACTCTTGTCTCCAAAAGATAATCATATCCCACACTCATCCTGCCACATGGCTTTGTATTCGATATAGAGAAATTCTCCTTATTGAAACAGAAACTATACCGCCGTGTAGGTCTTTTATTCCCAATATATGTCCATCACTTGGACATGTGTTGATTATCGTATCTGTGGGTGTGGTTTCATTGTCTTCTGAATAAGATAGCGTTGCTTCGTGTACCCGCCCATAACTCTTCAAACAAAACAAAATTTAGTTATATTATCTTTTTTGTATATTCCAGATTCTTCTGCAAATCTAGAAGGTTACGACGATTTTCAGGTACAGAACGTTGTAAAATACTCAGTGCACGTCCNGAGAACTCGAATCTGCAATCCGCTTCCATCGAAATACTATTGGTTGAGCAGTAACCAATAGAAATCAAGTTATTGGAAAAACGACTTTCTTAGGGTAAATCAAGGGGAAGAGTTCAAATTTGAGCTGTATTCAGTCCCAAGTCCTATTGGTTTGGCAATACCCAATAGAAATCAACAGTTTAGAGGGTAGGTTCCCCAGTATAATTTTGATGTTTACACATCCTAGGATGGCTAATTCGTCTGATTCACTTTTTGAAGTACACATAACTCTCGGATTTAAATCCGAAGTTTCCGCATTTTTCTCAAAATAGATTCGCTTTTTTATTTGTCCAAAAAAAACAAAAGAAAACTAGGTGATTTTGTGTTATAACTATTGTTTATGCAATTTGTGCGACGTAAGAGGCTATGCCACATGTATTTTGCCCACGTAAGATACGTATGTAACCTTTTTCACCCCAATTGACACCTATGAACAAACTTAGATGATAAATCGACCTATGTTCAATGCATACTTACCCCAACTATTTTTACATATCCAAAAAAGGTCTCCCGAGGCTGTTTTTCCATAACCAACGACTTGCAGCTATTTGCGAATAAGAAATCACAATTTTTAGAACTTCACACTTATATAGTTATTTCTAGTACGTACTACATGATCGATCACTGTTTTTGAGCACGATTTATCGTCATAAATACCTAGAAGATAATAGAACAATAGTAATCAATGTAAAACAATCAATGAACATGTCTTACCACCCTGATAAAGTTCAAAGGAAGTTTGGCTTGCATCGATACCAACAAACAATGTAGAGTTTTGGATCCATGTTACCATAGTATTTTCGTCTCGATTCTTAAGTCGCATGATTTTATCAAACTAAATCCAAATACTCATGAGAATCAAATAACAAACAGATTGTTTTTAAAGAAAAAAAATATCGAGTATCGAAACTTAAAATATATTCAGTGAACAATGAACAAATCTTTTAAAATTTATCACACCAAAATAAATGAAATTTTGTATCGAACGCTCGAATAGATTTTTTATTTCTCGAATCAAAAAATCATGTCGATCGTTTAGTGGCATGAAATTTGGAACAATGAAGGTATGCTTCAATAAATATATAAATGTACATACATGAGCAAATGGTTTACATTGGTCTGGTATGCATTTACCAGTAGGTGTAGGATAATCACGAGCACTACATATACCACCTAGTTTCCTTATACATTGTAATGGATCAACTGGTTGTGGGCAACAATCGACAACACGAGCAACACTGCCTAGTACGAGTTGTCCTGTTTGAATAGCGTGCAAGCTTTCAATAACTTCTGCAATATATTTTTTTCTATGAAAGGAGTTGGTCATTGATATTTTATAAACACTTACCTACAGCAACAACAGCCTCAACGTCTGTAAGAACGCCTTGATCTTTTACTGGCGAAATGACACCTTTTGTACGCCAATCGAATGAGTCTGGTACGAAAATTGATTCTAGAGTACTTTCCATACTTCCAGCTAAGGGTTCAATGTAGTGTTTTGAACGTGAAACAAGTTCCTGAAACAATTGCTCTTATTCAATGATTATGCATGATTAACACAACTGATTTTACTTCAATGCGTCGATCAGTCAAATGGTTGATACCAAGTTTGAATGTTGCATTTGGATGAAGTCGTTCATAAGTACGTATTCGATTTACATTTTCAAAAAATATTTGTTTACGTTCGGCTTCCTTAGCAGCTGATTTATAATGTTTATTATAATCACGTTTAAATTTAAGCCAATTGATTGATGAACTACTAGAAACCACAACAAGCAAGACAGAAAAAATGATTAACTAAATGTGACAAAAAAATTATATGTTTTATCATATTCTTAAAATTACCAACATCGTCAAAGACTTACTTTTAGATGCATCTTTTTTTTTTATTGTGTATGACAACAGGTGTTTTACGTAAAATATACATATATACATATATATATATATATCTGACCTTAAACAAATATTTGATAAGAGAATAGATTACAGCGAAAGAAATGCTGAAACATGATTAGATTGCATCGTTTGAATGATGTTAACTCTTTTCTTATCTCAAAGTTCACTAGATTTCATAATGATGAGGAAAGCCCTCTGACACAGGTAATATGGGTTAGTTGGTAATATTATTTGTAAATTTTGCGGCGATGATTATTCTCTGTAATCAAGTGTTCTTAAATTATGATCAACATTAAACGTTTAAGTTACGAAGAGAAGTTTTGCAGCATCTTCAATTATATTCTAAACAGTTTGCCTTATTCGATATTGTTCTTGCAAATTTCATTCTTTTTTTTTGCTCAAAATTTTTTGAACGTTTTTTTTCAGAAAGCAGTGGAAGTATTCTAAAGATATACAGTATATCTCATAAAGAATACATTTTCACTTGTTGTTAATGAAATTAAAATATTAAGAGATCATTTCGTTCAATACTAACATCTTCATACTAAAGTCAACTTGAAATTTCACTTTTAATAGAAAGTATTCAACTATTTTGATGAACACCAACGATTTTTCTATATATAAAAATACAAAAATGATTCTGCGAATTACTTGTAACAGTCAACCAGTCATACATAGTTAGTTCACCGATTATTCTTTTTCTCACCAGTCTTCATTCTATGTTTGCTCTTTAGGCCGTTGTTTGTTGGTTGTATTGATATCTGTCGCAAAGGATAATCACCGATAGAACAAGACGTGATGCTCCCAGATTTTGTTTGACCAAAAAGAATATTGTAATAGAATCGCATAAATTATATGAAGTGAACCAACAATCATTATTAATTGGACATTTTTTCGCTCTAACGATTTTGTTTAAAATATTTTTATAACAATTCACAATAAAGGATTACGATACTAGTTTTATCCATCGGTATCAATGGATATGATTTCGATTGACAAGATCGATGACTTTTACTATAAATCAATCAAACTTATAAAGAGATATTTGAAATATGAAAACTTATCCGAGAATATGGTTCTTTCGTATTGACCAATTGTTTTCAAGCACTGATTCGTATTCTTTTTATCAAAGCTGATAGAGAAGCTAAGCCTGTACCTAAATAATACTCAGATGAACTTGCTGCAATAGCAGCTACGACTATTGTTCAACTTAGTGTTGTATTGCTCGATATTATCGTTGTTAATTGCTCGAAAATGTGACTTAAAGTTGTAATGAAAACTCTTGATGGTGTAGCAAATATATATTCAGCAACACAAATGATTAGTGATAATAAAGTTTCCCTGAAACAAGATAGACAACTGCAGTTTTCAGCGTTGGAAAAAACAGATGAG